TTAGAGGGATATGTTTTAAATTGGGAATGTCATTTGAGGAAATAAACTACGAGGAGATTATGAAGCTTTTGAATCTGAAATCTTTGGGGAGTAGGCGCATATTTTTTAACATCTCTACATTGTACAAAATCCTTAATAACTTGATGGGCGCACAGATCTTTTGGTACCTGTTGGTTTTCATATTTCTCCTATTAATGCAAGAAATAAGGCTCTTTTTAAAATTGATTTTCATAGGACCAACTATGGCGATAACTCGCCTTTGAATTGAATGTGCAAGCTGACAAATATTTTACTCTCAACTAACGAGCATATTGATTTATTTTCTGACTCTCTCGGTCGTTTTAATTGTAAAGTAAAGAAGACTGTTTTTAATCAACCTGCCGCCTTGTAAACTTGGTAGTTTAGCAATTGTAAGTGTTATTTGGATTAAGCATTATTACTCGATTGACATGTGTGGATACTATTTTTCTTATTTTTCTTAGGTTAAATTGAAATTGAAAATGAAATTTTTACAAGGAAAATTATTTGCCAGAATATCTGAGTATACACCTACAGGAGAATGTGTTATTTAGTGCAATCCTCTACAAGTAATCCCAACATAAATATATTTTGAAGTACTATTCGAGCTATCCGATTCATCACTACAAATATTCTTAAACAACACATTTCAGTTATCCGCGAAAACGTTACGTCACCGGGTATATCCGGCGGCAAAAGGTTAAACACAACACACAGATTCCATCCTCTGGAATGTCTCTTTGTCTTCCCAGACATTAAAACCTTTGCGTCAGGCAATATTCGTATATCAAGTATCCTCCTTGATACACTTGCACAACCCAGATGCACGCGCGAAGATGCTCAAGTTATGAAAGCCTGACACCATAACTCCCGAACAAGAACAATAAAAGTCAAGCTTGGGACGTACAGGGTGTGATCCCGCGATGTTATTTCAGATCGTACTGGGAATCGGCTATTGTTCCGATCTTTTAGATGGAATCTCTCTGATGGTTAACTAATATCGTTTACCGATTTATTGACCCGAGTTTGTATGGCGATATACGCGGTGTCCGAAAAGTAAAAAACATGGCAATTAAAACCGCAATTTTTGATTGATATTGCGGTTAAAAATTTCTGGTGGTTTGTGGTTGTGGTTGTGGTTAGTCAATATAAGAGAACTTTTACCTTGCAACAGACTAATTTGACATAAAAAATGACATTACTTGTGTACGTCTGCGAAAATGCCTTCTTCAAATACGGTTCTGTAGAAAACTACCCAAAGTATCGTTTTTTAAATTTAATTTTGAAAGGGTGGAAGATACCTAAATGAAATTTTGACTTTCGAGCTTTGATAAAAGTTACTGCGGACAAAATTTTAATATTTTGTGTAGGAGCGTCGTTAAAGGGGGGTTGGTTGGTTAGAAAACTTGTTTAATTTTTTTCTAGCAAATTATATTTTGAAACAATTTGCTGTGAAATAGGTAGTCTCTTTCGTTAATTTAAAAAAGCATTTGACGTTGTTTACTCTGACATTGCATTGTATGGGAGGCAGACGAATTTTGCATAGAAATATCGTGTCATATTTAACAGCTAGGAGACTATATTAATTAATACATTATTAATATTAATATTATGCAAGATGATGTAAATAGCGACATACTGTTAAGTGAGTGCGGGGTGTCGCAGGGTTTTGTTCTGGGGCGACCACGAAAAATGTTGGACTTAAAACACACTTTGCTTTTGCCGATGATACTGACGGGGAGAAACTAGTATTGAACAATACAATACAATACAATTCCAAAATAAAATGTGTCTCAAGTTCGCTTCACTATACAGGAATCTCGGCTCCTATTATACCAACAGATTTATGTTTTAGGAAATATCGATGAAAAGCCAAAAATGGCAGATTTCGTTTTTCGGCAGTAAGTTCAAAACGGTTCAATTGGCAACTGTCAAAATGTGACAGTTTTTTAAACCAATAAGCTAGCGTGTATGACTCAATTGTCTTTTGCTATTTCGCATTAACTTTCTTTTTTTTTATGGATGCCACATTAAATTGTTCGATTTCTAGAAAGAGCGTAAAATTTTCAGTTCAAATTTGACATGCGCTTTTAATAAGCACAACGTTCATCATTGAGCTGTGGAAAACCCCCACAAAGTGACAGGTCTTTCCAAAAATCCAAAATTCCAATCTGGCGGGCATAAGAAAAATGAAAGTTAATGCGAGTTGCGAGATAACAAAAGGCGCTTGAGATATGTCATAGACGCTGTCTTACTCGTCTTAAAAAAGTGTTTTAGATTTACTGACGCAACTCTGAAGCGAGTTATCAAATACACTAAGTTTCTTCTAAAACTATTCCCATTTAACTATTGCTATAGGAGCGGAGATTGCTGTATAGAGAAGCGAATCTCGGACACATTTTATTATAATAAACTAAAATAAATATAGTTATAAATAATGTTTAAATTAAAAAAAAATAAATTAGTAACCAAAAAAGTGGTTCAGCATATAAAATACCTGCTTCTAATTCATAATAAATTAAACTGGTCTGAGCATATTGAATGTATTTCTAAATAAATAATAGCAATAATTCCAATAATATACAGAAATAGGAAAAACTTCAATGATAAACGAATCTAGTCTATAATGCATTTTTCCTTTCATATGTGCTATATTTATTGCCAATATGCGGAGCAGGTGGTAAACCTAATTTTAACACTGCTCAACTGCTTCAGAATAGACTTTTTAAACTGTTATTTAATGATGGAATATTAGCAAAACAACGGACAGGTTCTATGATGAACTTAATATTCGTAGGCTTAATATTATATTGGGGTTTGAACAAATTAAACTAATTTACAAAGGACTACGGTAAATAATATTTTCCAAATGCATACAAGAACAAATATAGGACATAATAACCGTTTTCTGTTAGCTATGAAGATAGACAAAAATTCATAAAACTTAAGAAATATTAGAATGTTTGGTAGACAAATTAATATATACTAAGTTATTGTTATAAATAAGTGAATCTATCAACACTGTGATAAATAATTGTAAGTATTCTCGAGGCCAGAGCTATTAAGCACTGTTCAGAGAATTTGTTGTTTTCAAAAAAAATCATAAGAATTACTGATTTTGCTGTTATTATAGGAAATAATTATATTCCATGAACAACTATTGCACTTAAATTTTATCAGCATTAACTTTGATGATCCGATCAAAAATATTTGCGCTCTGAATTTCATATAGGTATCTAAAGCCGTAACCTGTGGAGGCGGACATGCATAAGGTTTGGGTTCAGCAAAATATCATTGTGTCAATTAGGCACCACTGTTCCTTTGCTTTAAACTTTATAGTAATTCACCTATTAGCTTAATTTGTAACTATGCTCAGACAAGTTTTTTCATTCGTTATGCAACCAGACTAAGACTGCATTTAGAAATTAAAATGGAAGACGAACTTATCAATTGGTGTATGTCAACTCTGCGAATCAGTCGAAAATTTTGTATTCGTTTCGTTTTCTGCTTAATTATCGCGGCTAATAATAATTTTCGTTGACATTTCTGACGCAAATTTTAAATTTTCATTAAACTTACATGATACGGGGACAACGAATTGGGACGTCGCTGAATTTTATATGGGAGACGCGGTGTAGCTGGTTTAAAAAAAACTAACATTGTTACGGTACATGTACAGAGGCACGCACGTGTTGTTACGCAACAAGAACATCTTCAGCCCGTAATTGATGGTCATCTTGGTCCGTTTCTGGACGCTGGTATGGGTTTCAAGGGCGAATATTATTAAGACTCGGGCAAAATCGGTTTCGCGGGCAATTATTTACCTGTTATGGCCGAATAATTCAAATCCTTTACGGCGCACCTCGCCATTATAACTGACCGAACTCGTTTTGTTTATTGGTTGCCAACAAAAAAAAATGCAATTTGATTAGTTAATTAAAAATCTTTAAAATCCTACATTATCTATTTACTTCATTGATTGATTTTTTAGTCAGCATTCGTGATGTTGATAAAGAGGAGGAAATTGTGTCAAAAAGTGTTAAAAAATCTCTGCCTTGTGCGTTTTCAATGAAGACGCCACTTATAAACATATACTTCAGAAAATATAACCTATATTTTCGAGATACATATCTTACCGGCTCTTTTTGTTTACATTTGATAGAGGTGTTTAGGGCAGTAAAAGAATAAGTTAGCCCCAATCAGATTACGTGGCCCAGATGACACTGATCCGTATTTTTGTCGAGACTTTTGTAACATTGTAACAAGTAACAATTGAAAACGCTATTCTTTTGTCTTTAATTTACTTTCGAGACTCGAATTAAATGTTTTCTCGAACAAAACAAGTGAAATATGAGCGGTCCATACTATTCTGATCAACATATTTTTTTTTTTTTTAAGTTTAACTCACTCTCAGGAAAAGAAAGCATTTCCAGATCTGTTTTTATATAAACTTTTTGTGTTAACATCACCGAAAGAATCAGCGTTGACGTTTAGTATCGTATTTAAAAAACACCATGTAAAATTGGTTGGACCTAGCGTTTCGAGATCGTTAAAACTAAGTAAAAATCCACTAACCTAGTAACCGTTGCTTAAAAACTTAAATGCCACGTATCTCGCATTTTGTGTAATATTTGCAGCTTCTAGGTTTTCTTTGAATTACCCTGTATAATTATATTGTACATTATATATACATCCATGATTGTAATTTCGAACCTTATGCCAAGACTAAAAGCATTATAACTGCCATCTATAGGTTAGCGGCTGAATTAAGTCGCCTTAAATAAGAAAGAGGACTTACTTCGGTTACCGTTTAAATCAGAACGCTACATAGACAAACTAACCAAAACTTAGGCCTTGATTTTCCTGTTAAAAATTTAACTTGTTTAATTTTTAAATGATTTCAAAAATCGATGAAGGAACATTTTAAAGTTAACGATTTCTTGGAACAAATTTATATTATAGCAAACCACAAAACTCGATTTTAAATTTTATTATTTCCAACAGGGTTCTAATAATTTAATTATTCTAGATTAACTAGTCAACTCAGGCACTCGGAACGCCGTAGACTGCGTGGGGCTTGACCACTTTCGGCACTCCGTACTCGGCTTTGGGTGCGCCGTATTCTGGGTAGGGTACCGGAACTCCGTACTCTTGGGCAGGTCCTCTGGGAAGCGTATAATCGTAGGACGTGATCACAGGAGCGCGGTACTCTTCGTGAACTTTTGGAACTCCGTATTCCTCGTGCAATTTGGGCACGCCGTACTCCTCGTGGATTTTGGGAGTACCGTATTCAACGGCGGGAGTTCTGACGTCGATTTTGGGGATACCGTACTCGTACGACGTAACGACGGGCTCTACATGACGAGGCACGCCATATTCCTGCTGGGGAACTCCGTACTCTTCATGCACCTTCTTCGGCACACCATACTCTTCTGCTGGTACTCCGTACACCTGACGAATCGGCGCGGCGATTGTCACTTTGGGAATGGAGTACTCGTAAGATGTAATGACTGGTTCCACGTGCTTTGGTACGCCGTACTCTTCGTGCAGTTTGGGGACGCCATATTCCTCATGTACTTTGGGTACGCCGTATTCTTCGTGCACTTTTGGAACACCATATTCTTCGTGTATTTTTGGCACTTCGTACTCAGGCACCGGAGCTTTGGGGATAGCGTATTCGTAAGAAGTAATGACTGGTTCGACCTGTTTAGGAACGCCATATTCTTCGTGTAACTTTGGTACGCCGTATTCAGGTTTGGGTGCGCCATACTCTTCATGAATTTTCGGCACGCCATATTCGACTTTGGGGACAGCGTAGTCGTAGGATGTGACGACAGGTTTGACCTCTACCCGAGGAGTTCCGTATTCTTGGTGGGGTTCAAGCGGCAAAACAACCTTGGGTATGCCGTATTCCTGGGAGAGCGTGGGGTGCGATTCGGTCGTAGGAGCTGCGTAAGCTTTGGGCACCCCGTAGACGGTGTGCGGAATTGGTGCGTCGGCGTAGACGCTAACTACGGCCACACTGAGTACTACGCACAATGTAATCTAAAAAGTTCATGCGCGTTAGTCTTCGTTGGGGTACCGATCAATAATTTGTGTTTTTTTTTATGTATCTTGAATGGAGATGGCAGGAGGTAATAATAATAATAAAATAAACCTTAATAATAAAAAGCAACTAATATAAAGTAAAGGAAGACCTATAGTTATTGATTTTGATTGTTAGCCTGTCGTACTGAACCATTAGATAACTAAATAAACCTTAAATTTATTACATAGCAATTGCAAAAGTTAAAAATCTAGGTATCCAAAAGGTAAAAAATTTAATAAAAATTGTTAAAAACGATTCCTTACCATCTTCATGTTTTCTGTTCGATGGCAGTCGAATAACTCACAATTGGTGGGTAGTCGTTAAGTAGTTTTATACGTTCCCTTGTCCCGACACGTCCCTCGCTAATTTCAACTTAATGACTGTATTAGTGGCATTAAGGTTTCGGAATTTAAAAGTCGAATTTATCGGTAAAAGTAAGGAAATCGTGAGCACCCGTCGCTCTTGGAATTTCCGCATTGTCGTATCCTGTTTTCGAAAACGGTGGAAACTTTCGCCAATAGAACCACATTTTTTGCGAAATTATCGTTGTGATATTATCTAATGTGCAAAAGCAGTTTTAAAAATTTCGTTTTAGAAATTGCTAAACATAAAAATGTGAAAAATCAAACAATATTATTGTCCAGGAACGACAATATTGTTTGAGTTTCACCCAACAACAAAAAGATATGGGGTAATTAGTTTGTTGACGCTTCTAATATAATTAAATTCAATAGAATCATAATATTGCAAGTAACCACAAAAGACAATTAAACACGACGAAAATTACAATATCGGATATTAATATGGCTTGATAACAAATGTTTGATTTATTATATTATTATTATATATTATATATATTTTATACATATATTATTTTATATTATATATTATATTATATTATATTATTATATATACAGGGTAGCGCATCACTAGGCATAAGAGATAATTTTATCGAGAAATCTTTAATGCCAATGTTACTTGTATGGATGTGCTGCATGTAATGAAAATAATTGTTGTTATATAGAGTAGCTCATAAGCATATCCCAGCGCTCAACTTCCTTATTTTAAATGATAAACTTTGCATATGATTCAATTTTTGGATTTTTGATAAAAATTGGCTTCAGTTTCTTAGATATCTTGATTAATTTTAAAATTTTGAAGAATGTAACATTATTTTAAACAATGCTTCATTTTTAGTCGCGTATTATGGGGCGTGATAATAGAAAAAACGCAGTTTTGTATCTTCTATAATGATGTAATTAATTGCTATATTTTGGAAACCCTGTAATCGATAAATCAATTCTCAATATCGATTTCGAAATGAGGATTCTTGTGTTTTTGCTTACCATACAGGCGGTTACCATGAACCAAAAAATGGTTAAAAGACGCACTGTCCAAAATTTTTAAAATAATCAAGATATCTAAGAAACTATTGGGATTAAATATAGCGAAACCTTAAGGAAGCTACTATGATATTTTCTCAGAAATCGAAAAATGAATAATATTTAAAATAAGAAGTTGTGGTGATGCACTTACGAGATATAATAATGGCAACAATTTCATCGTATTCAGCACATTCAAACCAACAACTTTTGTATTTAAAATTGTTAGCTAAAATTAACTATTATAGAGATACAAAAGAATCCAGCAGCATAGTAAGCTACTCTATATATTTCATCTCCATTTACCTAGGACAAATGCGAGTTAGGCATCAACAATTTTAACTTAATATAATTGTACCTAATATAATATAAAATAATAATGTAAGTAATTTCTTTAAAATTTATTGCTTTTTTAAATAATGTTTTTCTTTATATTCTTTAATTTACTTTCTTTCCTTTTCCTTTCCCGTCGAAATAAATTCAAAATAATAAGAATAAGTTGATTTATTGCGGCAATAAGATCAGTGAAACTCAGTGCAATTTAACCCTACAAACGTGAAAATTGAGTGGCAATAAGCTACCAAAATAATAAATAAATAATAATAAAAAAAATAATTAAAAAAAAACATGCGTTTTATCCTATATAGATATAACTATTGTTATATACTATTATAGTAGTCACAAATCTAATTAAATAATATAATCATATCAAAAACAGCGTTTATTTTGTAAATTTGTTAATTTATTTAATCAGATACTTAATTTCGACTAAAGGGGCGTATATTTTGTCATTTTATGTTATTTCTTTTACTTTTAACATATATTGTCTCCATTTACGTAGGACAAATGTATGTCAGGCATCAACAATTTAAACTTAAAATAATAATATATAATATAATATAAAAGAATAATGTAAGTGTTTTCTTTAAAATTTATTGTTTTTTAAATAGTGTTTTTCTTTACATATTCTTTCATTTACTTTCTTTCCTTTTAATTTCCCGTTGAGATAAATTGCCTATTCAAAATAATACGAATAAGTTGATTTATTGCGTCAATAAGATCAGTGAAACTCAGTGCAATCTAACCCTGCAAAAGTGAAAATTGGGGGACAGTAAGCCACCAAAATAAGACAATTAAAAAAAAATATGCGTTTTATCGTATATTGGTATTATAGCTATTGTTATATACTATTATAGTAGCTACACATTTAATTAATTAATATAATTATTTTATCAGATAGTTAATTTCGACTAAAGGGGTATATATTTTGTAATTTTATTTCTCATTGCTTTTAACATATGAGCAAATGAATGGAATGAACTTAATTTTTACTATTGCTTCCCTTTCTGTACATAAGTATCGCCAATTAAAAATTGGATTTCCTCTGTAAGTTCCTTCAGCCAAGCTATTAAATATATATAAAATATTAAGTATTGTATTGTAAAGATCGGCCTACAGGGAAGGATGGTTAATCAATGCTAGAAGAAAATATAGAAGTCTTTGGCCAGTTCGATTCTTTGTTTCGTTTTTTTTTTATTAACTTTACTACCGAAGTATTGATCTTCAATGAAATTTGCTGTCAAAATCTGCAAATTTTAAATATAGACAAATGAGATCCCCAGAAAATTATACTTTTGAATATATTTTTTTAAATCAAGTGATCTTTGCCATATTTAAAATTGATTTTCACAAAGGCTACCAATTCTTGCAATTCTTGCCCGTCCGCTTGATGCGTCAACCCAATTAAAACCGAATTAGGCGGTCGGTCCTTCTAAACGTGCTTTAATTAGATCGACTTTGAAAAGTAATCCAGTTACTTTTTCTTTCATACTGTCCGGACTTCAGGGCCGTATCACTAAAATCTACATGCTTTAAGACTCGAGAATAGTTCCCGAAAATAGAGTCCTGAAGGGAAAAATGCATTTTTCGGAAATGGATAACGGATAATTAATGGGCTATGATCAATTACCACATGTATCGATAGTAACTTACAAATAGAGGAAAATGATTTCTAACTGAGCAAAACTTACCATCACTAGTTTTATTATTATTTCTTTAATATTCAAAGCGAGAAAATATGTCCAGATTTTGAATAGTTTTTGGTAACAAAATTTCACACCAATAGTTTCTAACCAATCAAAATTGATTCTTTTTTATTTTATCGGAAATCTTTCTATGGTAGGTAACCAACGGCAAATTATATTTTAATTTTTTTGATATTACCACAAAATATTCTTTTAGCTTTTTTTATTTAAATGGTTCTCCATAAACTAGAAATTTGGTTTATATATCCAGCCTTTTCTTCTTAATCACAGCAGCAACCCCACTCCAACAAGCTTTTGCTACAAAACAGAGAACTTTTTAAATCAAATAATATGTTTCTACTCACTACTAGGCACGGGTTTGGGAGTAATGGGATGTTTTCGGAGATATTACCGCAAAGCTTGAATTTTAACGTTTGTCAATTCTGCCAGTCATGTCAGTGAATGCATTCGTGTTGTTTTGCAGAAATGTACCCAAAAACTAACGTTTGTAGAAAAAGTATAGTAAGCAACACGTTTGGTAAACTTTTTAAGTCACTCGTTTATTAAAGACTCGCTCCGCTCGTGCCAAAAAAACCGGTGACTCAAATGCCTTTTACCACACTTGTTGCGTAATATACTATTCCGAATGCTTCACTTACTAATTAAGAAGACAAATTAAACATTGTCACAAATGAATTTTTCTACTCCCGTCTGTAGAATACTTAATTACCCACCGATCTAGCGTGCGGGAAGCGTCACTTTACCACGTCAATTTCGTTTCCCACGAATCCCAGCCATTTCGGATGTTTCCGAGATTTTACCGCACTGATTTGGGAGCGATTGGATGTTTTCGGAGATATTTCCCCCGCTTTGAATTTTGACATTTGTCGATTCTGACGGTAATTTTAGTGAATGTATTCCTGAGTCAAATGCCGTTTACCGTACTTGTTGCATAATATACTATTTAAACATAATCAAGTGTGAAATTTTCTTGCCGAATATCATTAAATTAAGACATGAATATTCACAATATATATGAACATTTTACAAGATTTCAGGGGTGGCATTTTCGTCGAATTTTGAGTACAAACAGCAGCAAACCCCAGTTATAATAAAAATTTAATGTCGTTCTGAATTGACATTGCATAAAGTGTAATTTTTATTTGTCTTAAAAAAAATTGCATTTTAATGCTAACCTGGGTACTCCGACATCAAAACATGTCTGCCCTTTGCGTAAAATCTTCACATTTGATGATAGATCCAGCCTGCTGAAATGCGCATGATAGTGGAAAAATATACCCTATATTTTTTTAGTGTTTTCAGTGGAAAAAACATAGCGAGTCCGGTCCTGTCTGAAATAATTTGTAGATGCAGTATTTTGCGAGGATTTCTTTGATATCTTAGCGATGGGCAAAAAGTTGAATTTTCATTCAATAATTTTGTATCTTTTTTATCAAATGTAATATTCCTTTCACTTGATAACGCGCTTTTTAATTATCTATTATATACCCATAGAGTATAATGAATTACTAATTATGCCGTTCAAATTCTAAACAACAACCGAATTACCCCCACCTGATATTTGAATTTTTTGATAGAGTACTTATACTATCGATCCCGTGAAAATTGACACATTCTGCTAGCGTTATTAGTACTTTAAACATGGTATGTATTACAGTGTAGTTCAAATTTCGCTTTTCCCAAACTTATTTATTTTCAAACTTATATACTTTCTAAATTTATCGTCTACATGTAGAAATGCTTAATTTCAACTTTTAGATTCAGCTACGATCGTTTGTGCTGCTGTTGGCTGTCTTCGTAAGTGGTTGTCTCTCGGACGCTCCACTGTTGCCGTATCCTCCGGCGGAACCGATTGCACCGGTTCACCCCTATCCACCAGCAGAACCGATCGCACCAGTTCAGCCTTACCCGCCAGCGGAACCCATAGCACCAGTTCAGCCTTACCCGCCAGCGGAACCCATCGCACCAGTTCAGCCTTACCCTCCAGCGGAACCCATCGCACCAGTTCAGCCTTACCCGCCAGCGGAACCCATCGCACCAGTTCAGCCATATCCGCCAGCGGAACCAATACCGACAACCTCGTTGCCGTATCCACCAGCAGAACCTAAGGTGGTATCAATTTCTCTGCCCTACCCTCCAGCAGAACCCAAAGTTGTACCCATTTCTCTTCCCTACCCTCCAGCAGAACCCAAAGTGGTACCAATTTCTTTACCCTACCCGCCAGCAGAACCTTCATTACCTTACTCTGCTCCAGAACCTAAAGTAGTTCCCACCATATCGTTACCTTACCCTCCAGCGGAACCTAAAATACAAACCATTTCCTTGCCTTATCCCCCGGCGGAACCAAAACCGGTGGTGCACTCTTTCGGACCGTACCCACCAAGCGAATAACTGGAAACTGGAAATCAACACAAGCCATAATATTGTTGGTTCAGTAATATATTTCGTTTTGTACATTGTACGTACATACAAAAATGTATTTATTTGGTTTTTGTTAAATAAATGTTTGACATCGATATTGAACTCGTCTTTTATTATACGTACATGATAGTGATTCTATATTTAAAATATCCCGATGGTTGGTTTTATTATTTCTTTAGTTTTGGTTGTTTTGGTTAGTTAAAATTTCCTCCCTGTTTCTTAAAAAGGGCAATTTATGTGCGTTCATTTATTTGAAATCTTCATACTTTGTGGCGTTTGTTGTAATGTCATCAATTATTATTCGAAAAAAATGTCTCTTAATTTAGCATATAGTAATAGCATATAGGTTTGTCTGTTATCTGTTAGAACAATTCATTATTTTCTAACATTCCGAATGAAATTTTTTAAAATCCTTGTTGTAAAATATTTCTTACACTTAATATCTAAAGTGGTTTTTGGATTTTGTAGGATTTGGAGAATCGATGCAAAATGTGTTGTGAAATTTACCCAAAAACTAACGGTTGTAAAAAAAGTCCAGTATGCAATACGTTTGGTAAACTTTTAAAGCCATTCGCTCCGCTCGCGCCAAAACTAGTAACTCAAATGCCGTTTACCATACTTGTTGCATAATATGCTATTTCTAAGCCCATGAGATTTTGGGTACATTTTTGCAAAAAAGTGACACTTTCCGCATTTCCGGATTCGTGGATAATTGGGTATTTTAGGGTAAAGAGTAGAGTAAATTTTCACCAAACCTTAAGGAATCCCTTCTAAATCATTGAAACTTATCCATACTAAGTATGGGTAAAATTACTACATTTTTCATAGATAAGCTTTCGAAGTTTTTATGTTGACTGCCAGGTCTCTTTATAGGCAAAACATATTATGTTGCATGTGTTGAAATCCTCAAAATGTGAATTCAAAAAAATATATTTATTGCTATTTTTTTTGTATCCCCAATTTTTAATATAGTAATTAAATGACATAGCAACGGTAAATTTTGCAACTTTGATCCAAAAATAGAAAACGTTTTTTATTCTGTGAGCCTTAAAGTAGGTTTAATGGGGAATTTCAAAGCATGACTCAACTTGGGAAAATGTCAAAAAGTTATTTAATAAACTCTGCATAGTCAGATTTTTAGAAAATAAAAAAAAGGAAATCGCTATGATATCGTATTTAAAATTGCAGATAAAAACATAACTCAGTCGAATTTAGATCTACACTTTAGATTCGCTTTAATTAAAAGTACTGTATCACCTCCAAACATACAATGTATAATGACATTACCCAATCCGATTCAACTTTGACAACGTTATCATTACAACTAATGGAGACAGTTATTTTCTGTAAAGCAACTTGGCCGATTGATAAGAAACCATAGAATTAGTTGCTGTATTCTAAATCAAAAAGAAGTAATACAGCTGCATTTATCTAGTATTTTTCTCTCACTCTAACTCGTTCTAGATGTTATACGCTGATATGTTGCTGTAATTTTACAATTTTATTACACGCGATTTACGATCCCATTCTTGGAAGAAGAATATAACTCGAATCTTGTTTGGTACCTACGACATCTTTATCTGTGATGATTCGTATTTAAAAAAGACCTTGGAATATTCATTAGTATGTTCTTCGCGATGTTTCATTTTTACATAATTAAGTCACAAAAATGTATAATCCAAACAAATTTTAAACATGGCTTCGCGACCCGGAGGACAGAAAAAAAATGTTTTTGGTAAAATCGACGGTGTCGCTTCATTGGTAAAAACAAACTTTGAGGTCAAGTTTGGACGTTCCATTCGAAGTGGATCGTACTTTTTGGAGGGCAAAACTGGTGACGCAACGAGGTATACCTAAAGCTTTCAAAGGTATCGCGATGGTGCATCGCGGCCTTAAAACACTAAAAGTCACCCTTGCGTGGCGATCGTCCATTGTTCGAGAAACAATAAACGAGTGTGTTGCCCAAAATTGCGTTCGTGTGCCGTATACGTTTGACATTCGACAATCAAAGGTGTTTATCAACTGCATAAACTAACCAAGACTAAGAGCAAGAATTTGGGATGACTTTCAGCGCACAGCGAAAAACGGTTTATAGGCACTAAAAATGACAATATGGGTCGACTCTTATTGGTAGATTCTGAGGTCATACGCCAGGCAGATAAACGTCTTTCAAAATGCGCGTGATTAGTAGTCCTAAATCTCGGTTTCGGTTCTTGCGTTTGCGCTCTTGTTTACATCAGTATGGTTTCATCCTACATTTTTGATGATTTTTAAATTAATTTTTAAGACTTGTGTATAAGTATCAAAACGAAGCAGCTGTTAAAGTTAAAGTCAAAAGCTACGCCCAGTGCTTTTTAAACAAAAACCAAAATTCCACTGCAAATTGGCATTTTCACTTATCACAATTAAATTAGAACAAAAACTATTCAAATTTTACATTTTTTTATTACTTTGTGACACCTATGTATATATATATATATATATATATATATATATATATATATATATATATATATATATATATATATATATATATATATATATATATATATATATATATATATATATATATATATATATATATATATATATATATATATATATATATATATATATATATATATATATATATATATATATATATATATATATATATATATATATATATATATATATATATATATATATATATATATATATATATATATATATATATATATATATATATATATATATATATATACATATATATATATATATATATATATATATATATATATATATAGTATATATATATATATATATATATATATATATATATATATATCCGAAAACACTTCGAACAGTGTTCGAACAGTGAACGGATGATATCCCGGAATATAGTGTCATCACATTTATCCATCCGTGAATCAATACGTGAAAATATATATATATATATAATGTATATATATATAAACAGGTAGTAATACACTTTTAATTAACGTTGAAGGGTCATAAATTTAAATTAAACAACGGAGATGCATTTAAATCGAATTGGTCATTAGGTAATAGATTGAAATATCTGATTATATAAAATATCAAAATTATAGTCAAACATGTGTATTTCTGAATTTAAATGAATGGTATAGTTAGAACAGTTAGAACTTTTACTTTTATTCTCTCTTTTATATTCGTTTCTTAAATGTTCTACCTGTTGGATATAAATTTTGGGACATGGATCCACACTTCAAGTTGAAGACTCCGGATTTTTGAGTTTTGTGTGATTTAGTCTTACTGTTCTTTAAAAATTTTCCAATGGTGTTTTCAGTTTTAAAAGTAATCCTAAGACGATATTTAAATAGATGTTTCGAAATTTTATGTATGGAGTTAATATGATTCAAAAAGGACTGTAATTGTCTTTCCGTTCCAGTGAAACAAGCAAAAACATCATCTACATATCTATATTACAAAAGAAATCTTTTACTCAGAGCATGTTTATGAATGGTATCTTCTATATTGTGCATGAACATTTCTGCAAGACCTTCTTTAGCAATATAAAATTGACCATTAAATTCAAAATAATTTTGGTCTAAACAAACTATTGAACTATCTAATAAGTCTTGTTTTATAATAGGGTTGACTTTTCTCTGAGTAAGAATTTTGTCAATAATATTTATTACGGGAAACCGTGGAATGCTAGGATATAGACTTTGGACGTCAAAGGAAACTAGAATTGCCATAGGAGGAATTTTAATGTCTTTAATCTTGATTTTTGATAGCATATCTACATTTAAAGACAATACCATATTATAAATTTTGATGATTCTTGCTGAAAGTTTAACTGATGGTACTGTTACAAAAGAAACTACAGGCCTAATTGGCATATCCTGTCTGTATAACTTAATTAAAAAATATAATTTTGGAACTTGAGGATTCATAACCATTAGTTGGTATTTTTCCCGGCATTAAAAAGTGATGAATCTGTAATTACCGTTTTGATTTGATTTTGATATAACTCAGTGGGATCATATCGGATACTCTGGTATATGTCTAGTATAAGAAACTGTTTGGTTTTTGTAATATAATGTAGACAATCGATAGCTATGACTGTCTTTTTACTATATTATTTTTAAATGATTTTACCATTGACATATTTGAACGATCCTTGAATTTACTATTAATTGTAAGTTGAGATTTTAATTAACTAGCTAATACGTGTTTGTTTGCGATATTGTCGTTATTACCGTTAATAGCAAGCTCGCAATCAACTCCTAAACAATTTAACTCCGTTTTATTGTTTGAGTAATTTAAACAAGTTGGAGCTATGGAGCTTAATAAAATGAGAGAATTGGATTTAAATGCGGCTCCGTTGTTAAATTTAAATTTATAACCCTACACCGATAACTAAAATCTATTCCTACCTGATTATATATATAGAGATGTCCGAATGTTGTCGTATTTTGTATCTGTCTAAACAGCTGTCAAAAGGTAATAAATTGCTATGAAAATTTGACCATTTTTTGTTCTAATTTAATTGTGGTAAATGGATTTTCATCAAGTAAAAGTCAATTCAATCACTTGTCCCTTCTTCTTTGTGCATGCGTTGATAATACCCATATATATCCTCCATTAATTAATAATAATAAAATAAGTCATCACAAAAAAACTTAAAAAAATCTTATTCTTCATATTAAAATATTTAAAAAATGATATTATGAAAAAACAAGAAAAAGTTACAGAATACATTTGATTGAAATTTTAGGTGACCTTCCACCAAATCGTCTATTATGTGTATGAATACGCGTATACAGATTGGGGAAGGGTGTGCCCGGGCGGTGAGATGACCCCAAGCGCAAAGCGGGGGAACCCTATATATAAACTCTTCAACGCATCTTCAAACCATCAAAAATTTTAGTACTTTTTTGTCGTTCTGGGTTTCTGCGGTAGTGTCATCATGTCGATTAATACAATTATGGTGCGTATTAATTTCTAGCCAATTTAAACAAAATTTTAAACAGGGTTAATCAAAACCATAAAAAAAATATTTTTCATTAACCATTATCAGGAAATAATTAATTAATAATTCATTTTACATAAAAAATATTTAGGTAGATAAAGTGTTTCCCTGTTAATAATGTAGGACAATTTTGAAATGGTAACTAATAGTATTAATCAAACTATAAATATCCGAACAACATTGTAAAAAATTTTATTTTCTAAATAAGATACTTTATACCGGTTTGTTCAATTTACTGAGTATTTATTTCACTTGTATTTGAAAAATATTGATTTTTTTATAACAATAAAGTTAAGCTTATATTATTATCTATTCTTCCGTCTGCATTTTTGACAAGAAATATTAAATATTAAATAACTCAAAAACAGAAAGAAATTTAGTTTTACATAAAAGATGTCTAGAATTATCTGCCTAATACGTTAATTTTTTAATGTAATTAAATTTTATTTCAGCTATTATCTTTAAAAGATTTTGGATATCGACTGTGTATGATATCACATTTTTAAATTTCTGCTAGTTTGCTAGGTTTTCCCATAACAGATGGACCAGTATAGTGGATTTTTCACTTTGGAAATTTTCTAAATATGGCTGGTGACGGCACTATTTAAATTTAATAATGTATGTTTTTTTTGCAATTCGCTGCATATCTGGTGCCGCATTATAAATTCAAATTTGTTTCGAAATTTCCAAGCTTTGAATTAGTGTTATTTGACTGACTTTGATTTCGCTTTCTTTTTCTGTATTTCTGGCCAACCTAGCCTGGCCACCTGTTTGGTTACCATTATAATTTTTTTGTAATTACAGCTATTATCTGCATGTTTTGGCCGTATTGACACCAAATGAAGAACTTTCTCATTCGTATTTGTGATCCGAGCGTTTTCACAATTCTTATGCTAGCTATATATGATTTTACATCCAAATATATATTAACAATTCAATATTTCAGCTAGGCAAGGATATTGATCAACATTTTTCTCTTTGAAAACTGGTTTGTCGATTGTTACAGATTGTTACAGTGTGCATCTGTGCGACTGCTATAGGTGCCCCTCAAAGACAATACAGGCCTCAGTCACAACAGCCCTACAACGGACCCAAACCCGTACCGATCGTATCTGAAAGTAGTGAAATTAACCCCGACGGATCATTTAGCTACAAGTAAGGTTTCGTGGAAATGTTTTAGCTTAAAATTGGGAGACATTCATAGCGATTTTTTTAAAGCTACGTTTCTGGGGACGGAACCCAAGCCCAAGCCCAAGGATACTTGAAAAACGCGGGCCAGAAAGATGCTGAAGCCGAAGTGATTCAAGGATCATACTCGTACACAGCTCCAGACGGTACGCTATAATTACTGATCATCCCAGAACTATAAAGGAGTCCTATTATGACACGCACCTTATTCTCAAATCCTTTATTAATATGATACATTTTATTGAGATTAATGTCAATTTTAGAAATACAGGTAGGTACTTATATATTACTTTACAAGATTAGAAAAATGAACACCAAGCTTTTGAGACTTATTAAGGTGTTATGTCGAGTTCCCTAATCATGTTTTATTACTCTCTAATAATTCTGGGGCTGCTATATATTCACTATACAAAGCAATGAGGCACTCGCCAAATGCAGTAGGTACTCAATATAAGCCCAGTAAGTAAATTAATATTAAGGATTTTTTGCTGTAATCGTTTGTTTTGTGTGAATCAAAATTCCCCGCAAAAATTTTAACTTTCATTTATATTAATTTATTTTTAGTATTAAATGTTTTTGCCTAAAAACGAGGATTTTGTTCTGACGATTATAATTGTGCGGTGTAGTTTCATTGTCAAGTTTATTGGCATGGAATAACTAGGCAACGAAAACTTTTGGTGCACCCCTCTGTAAACAATGTCGCCAGTAGAAGTTAAAATTTCTTTCCTTGTGTGGTAACGATGAAAGCACATCACGTTAGTTTCTTTTGATTATGATGCGTTTTATCGTTTTTTTTTCTGCAGTTTTAATCGCTGTTTGTGTTTCGCAATTTTGTAGTTTATCTGTCGACTGCCAATAATGTAAATGTTTCACCGGATATCAACTTTTTTAGGCTTCCTGTGTTTTTACTTTCGTGAAAGAAAAAGAAATACACCTATAACTATGACGATAAATAAATCGCAGTTCTACACTTTCGCGTTTGTGCGTATTTTTATGGTATGTGCCTAAATCGAAGCACTTAATTTTTTCTGCTTGAAGACCGCATTTACTTGTGCACATAGTAAAAAAAACTTCACGTTTACTCAATAATTTATTTTAAAGTTTTCGTAGGTTTTATTTTATTTGTTATCCAAAAATAATTTATTATTTATTTATTACGCTATTATTATGCCAAAAAATATTTTGGGTTAGTTGTTCCTCATTAATAGAAAATTTTATGAAAACATGTATTACAGGTACTCCAATCACAGTAACATACATTGCGGACGAAAACGGCTTCAGAGTTGAAGGCGCACATCTTCCCACTCCACCACCTATCCCGGAAGAAATTCAAAAATCCTTAGCTTTAATAAGCCAAACGCAATCAACAGGTCAACGCCAATACGAACCAGATACATTCCGCCAGCAGTATCAGCAAAGGCCGTACCGTTTCTAGGTTCATATTGTCCAGATTAAAACGAACTGATTCGTATAATCTTTAGTCATGTTCAATTTTTCTTTCCAATAATGTACATACCAACGTTTTTTCGTGTTATTTATATCATTATTTAATATAAATGTCTATTTTTACATTTTTGGTTTTCCTTTATCCTCAACTAATGCAAAAACTGAAATTATTGATTGGCTTAACAATATTTTCATAATTTCGTCCGTCTTTATGGGGATTCTTTTCTTATTAAAATGAAATCTATTTTCGCGCCTTTCCAAACAATTCCATGAATCTGTGACCATTAAAACATAAAGAAGAAGAGCATAAGATGGATCTTGCCTCTGTCACTTTGATCTGTGGTTTGACAACGTCAATATTTACATTTTTTTACCCCTTTGGAAAATCCGTATATAAACATGCTTTAGGTCATTTAAATTTAAGGAGGGCAAAGTCTCAACAATGAAAATGACTAGGTTAGTTTATATATTAATTTTGTGTTCCACCAAAGGCGTAATATTAACGTTTTTTAGCAGCAGTACGCTGTATGAAAAAAGGCCCCTGAAGAAGCAGCGGATGGGGCCGCCCGATGTTTACCCTCAGGAGCCGAAACAGAAGGAGGACGAACTCACTAGCATTAACGTGAAACACGGGTTCCCCACAATGACGCACCTAAGCGATGAATTTGGAACTGCTAGAAACTGTAATGTCACTGCTAGCAAGGTACTGCCTTACATATTTTATTTAGCAGTTTAAAATTTAAATTGACGTTTTAGGTTGGAGCTTATTTTAATTCCATCATCTCGAGAAAGGAGGAATTGAGTATGTTGCCAGATTCTGGCAGAAAGAGACAGCAGATTAATCATAAGGATAACTTTTGGCCCGCAACTATTAGAACTAAAACTCATATTGAAGCTTGGTTCAAAGACTTGGCTGGTAGTAAGCCTCTCATGAACTTATCAAAGAAAGCTCCAAATTTTAACAAAAAAGAGGAGATTTTCATGATGTTAACAGAATATCAAGTGCCGATGATGAGAGCTGCCTGGTTTATTAAACTCAGTTGGGCTTATACAGTTGCCGTTTCTGAAGTAAAAAATAAAAAAAGGCAAATGACAGATCCAACAACAGGTAATTTAAATTTTGGTTCATGTTTAAGGGATAATATTCAACACTATGTTTTTAGAATGGACTGGCACTCTTCTTAAATTTTTAAAAGACCAAATTCCAAAGTTACAGGAGCATTATACTCAGAATGATAAAGCACCTCCTCCACCCATAGCCAGTAATGATACTGAACAGAAATTAGCATTGCGCCATTGGTTTTATTGCACCCGACTTATTAAGTATATGTATGAGGAAGGCTTAATTGAAAGGCAAGAGGTGTTGACTTGGATTATTGAATTATTGGAAAAACAAGACAAACAAAAATCTCAGCCACAAGAAGATGGCATTTTACGGCTTTATTTACCTCTAACACTTCAGTATTTGGACGAGTTTGTTCAGTCTGAGCTACTTTCAAGAAGACTGTGCCATTTCGCGGCTAAAAAAATCAATTTTATGCTTTGCAATGTTGCAGAATCAAACATTATTACATCTCCTCAAAGTGAAATAAAAACTGATCAAAAGGATAGTGATAAGGACAAGAAAGAGAATATTCCACCTAACCCTGTGCAAAGCACTTTACTGGAGTATCATAATTGCCCTCACCACAAGGACATAAGTGAGAATATTTGATTTGTTATTGAAAATGTTTAAAATTTAAAAGAATAAACTTAAACCATGTTTTATAGCCTTATTCAGTATTATTTATTCATTTGTATGGTATTTAATTTCTTTTTTATTTTTGAAAATTGCTACTTCTTTAATTTTCTTTAATTTTAAACACATTTATATTTATAAAACTTCAAATCACATCTCCAGTAGACCTAATCAAAAAAAACCTTTTCAGAATAACAAGGTCTGCATTTTTAAAATTTTAGTACTTCAACTTAGCACAGTTATTCATACAATTGTGCTTGAATGTCCCACAAGTCTTGTGTGGTGTTCTACCGGTGTAGGTACCCAGTGGCACGGATCACCTTTAGATAATCTGCCCATTTCACCTTCCATTTTGCCAATGCCAGCCCGTTGTGATATGAATACATACCGTAAACAAATATTGCATGCAGAGAACTGTATAAGAGAGAGGAGCAAGCGGGTGGAAGGGAAGTGGTGTACGGATAAATGGCAGCCAACATCTGCTGGTACGTTTGAGAGCGGTTGGGTATACTATCTCCTATTTCTGTATAGTTTTTAAAGGGACTGTTACAACAAGAGTATTAGCGGCCTTAGATGCTTTGGATAGGCATCGTTTTGATAAAATGGATTCTACAAACTCCCTGGATACCCTTTATGCCAAGGTAACTGTCCTGCATTCATTTTGATTTGGCTTGGAACATTTGAACTACTAAACATATTTGAAATATCAAAAAATATATATATTTTTTACAGGTATTTAGTGGTCCGCCAGATCAAGAAAACTCGGTAGTGAAGCTGTTATGTGAATGGGCGGTATCACCTGAGAGAACAGGCGAGCACCGGGCTCTAGCGGTGGCGGCCCTTTTGGACAGGCGGCAGTCGGACTCTAACCCTCTAAACGATCAAGAAGCAACTGCAGGCGACGACAAAGACAGTAGCAGTTCATTGCCGGGTGGTCCTCCAATGTTTCAATCCTTATTAATGAAATTTTTGGACGTTGATGCCCCCCTGCCTTCCCCAGACGATTGTGCTCAAGTCAGTTTAATATTTTGTTATATATGATAATTTTGTGACCTCTCCGACCACTTATTATATATTAATATAAAACTAATGAAAGCACTAGAATAGATTAAACATTTTAAGACAGCCCTTGTAAATCCTTCAATGATGCTTGTTACTTCATCTTTTTGATAATATAAAGAATTAGATTTTTAAAACTCTAACATTGCATCTTTTTGCAGAAGAAAACAGCATTTTCAAATTTAGTTCATCTTTTTGCCGAGCTCATTAGAAGGGACGTTTTTTCGCATGACGCCTATATGTGCACCTTAATCGCGAGAGGTGATTTGTTGGGACATGAAGAGAATACCGACAGTATAACAAATCATCACAGCAAAATAGAGGTGGTAAAAGGCACCAGTCTATGTAACCCCTCGTAATATATATTTGTTTTGTCCCAGCCAATGGATTACGACGATGCCGACGTCGACAATGATCTAGACAAAATACTCCAGAACATCAAGGAGGACCAACAGAACTCTATGGACATTCCCGACAGCCCGAAAGATCATGAACACGGCCACCATCCACAAGTTCCTCAGATGGGTCACGTGCCCATGGAAACCGGTCATGTGGACCATAAAGTCAAACCTTCGCGCCATTTCTTATACACCACCCATTTTCCTTTGAGTCAGGACGACCCTTTTAGTCAACACGATTGCAACCAAAGGCACATCCTGCTTTACGGCGTGGGCAAAGTGCGCGATGAGGCCCGCCACACTGTTAAGAAAATGTCTAAAGAAATCTGCAAATTGTTCTCAAAGAAATTTAGCATCGACGTTGCTGAAGGTGGCAAAGTGAAGAAGCACTCACGAAACGAGTTCAACTTCGAGGCGACGACGCAGAAATGTCAGAGTCTGAGCTATTTTGACCAGCACGTGGTCACGTGGCAGTGTAGCGTCATGGTGGTGGAAATGTTGAACTCCTTCGCTACAGGCAACTCCAATTATCTGCCCGTCCAAGAGCATGTTGCTTTTCTATTTGATCTCATGGAACTCGCGCTGAACATATATGGTCTTATCGACGTTTGTATCCAAATTCTTAAGGAGTTGCCTGAAGTAGAGAACCAACTGCACAACAAGAACTTTGCCAATCAGAATTCGCTCAGCCGTAGCTACACCACCGGCTTGAGTTTGTACATTGTGGGGATCCTGAGAAGGTACCACTGTTGTCTGTTGTGTAAGTATATTTAAATGGTGTAGTTTTATTTTGTTATTATTATATTAAAGTGAGTCTTTTGCACATTTTTCAATATTCATTATAGTTTTGGATAGTTAAAAGTACAAATACATAGAAAAACATAAATTGAAAAATTGTCGGCGGCCCCAGAAAAATTTTAAACTCATGGTTTTTGGAAGAACACTATTTTTCGGAAAGCATAGAAAATTCCACATTCACACTCGTTCTTTCTCTTTAAATTACACTTTTGTTACAAAATTTCGTAATAAAAATTGTAAATCTAATTTTTCACACATTTTAAATAATTTCTTAAAAAAGTGTTAAGTCTTATCTTTTCTGTAAAAAAAACTGTGAATTCACAAACTTTTTACGAAAATTTCTTTTTTTCATTTTCATAATAAAGATAGTAAATCTTTGTAAATGAATGAATTCATAAAGTTTTTATGTAACTCACAATTTTTGTATAAAATTTTGTTAAAAATTTGGTAAACACTTAAAAAAAATAGTAAAAGACATTAAGCTTTGTATATTCATACAAAAGTGACCGACAGCAAAGATCTGTACCTATATTACTTTTGATTAATTAATCATATTTTTTAACTTGAAGAAGTTTATATTTGTGGTCAATAGGTCGTGGGATATTTGAACTACTTGGACATGTAGCTTAAAATGTGGCGTTAAACTTTCAACATGCACGCGTTTCATACAATTTTAAATTATAATTGACTTGATGCTTCTAAATCCAGTATCACCCGAACAAACGGCGGCATTCGAAGGTTCGAACTAACGAAAACTAACCAAAACTTGAATCCCTTTGGAGAAGTTTTGGAAATGTATTCATGTGATTAAAAAAACCTCTAGCATTTGGTTCAATAATGACAATGGCTAAAACATTGAATTTGAAATATTTTGTTAGTTACATGATGCACAACAGATTGATTTTGAACATGGGTTGAATCAAATTTTAAACTGATGGTTTTTGGAAAGACTGCTATTATTAGGAAAGCAGAACGACCACATCTGAACTCGTTTTCTTTAAATTACACTTTTCTTACAATATTTCGTAATAAAAATTGTAAACCTAATTTCGTCGTAAATAAGTTATTATTCACAAAGTTTTTTTTACTAAATTCACATTTTTCTGCAGTGTTATCAAAAAAATTGTAAATAATAACACTTTTCTACAAAATTGTATAAAAAAAATTGTAAAATCATATATTTTTACGAAAATTACAATTTTCTTACAAAATTTCGTAACAGAATTAGTAAATCTTTGTAAATGATTGAATTCATAATGTTTTCAATTTTACGCTTTAAAAAAAAAATAGTAAAAGGCTTGTGTGAGTGAAATTTGTAAGATAATTCGCACTTTTTTACGGAAAAGCTGAGGTTGAAATTTTTTTATGAAATTTTAGCAAAAAAAAGGACGACGTTTTCATACTTTATACAGAGTAGTGTACAAGTAGCCCTTGGAAATATTTAACAACGGTAGACCGTGTATATTCAAACAAAACTGCGTGACACCAAAGATCTGTACCTATATTACTTTTAATGAACTCATCACTTTTTGATGTTTGAACTACTTATAAATGTACCATGTGGCGTTATACTCTCAACATGCATGCGTTTCATATATTTTCAAATTTTAATCGACTTGATGCTTTTATACCCAGTATCCCCCGAACAAACGTCGGCCGTGTTCGAAGGTTTGTGTAAAGTCGTCAAACACGTGACCAATCCGGGCGACTGCAGTTCCGCCGAACGTTGCATACTCGCCCACCTTTACGACCTCTATTCCTCGTGCAGCCTTCTCAAATCGAAGCCCCACACGGTCGAGCCGTTCGGTAACGCCTACCCCAAAATCAAACAGGCCCTCTACAGCACGCTACAGCCCACGCCCAGCACTTACGTCTATTCGTCTCAGTTTATGCAAGAGATGCTGATGAATCCGAGGCGAATGGGTCGTATCGAGAGCGCGTGGGCGAAACAACTAAACGAGAACGGAAACAATCGATATTCGTTTGTCAGTAACGCCGTAATTCGCGTGTGCAGAGAGAACGACAACGAGAGGTTAAACGATTTGGCCATAATGTGCGCGGAAATGACCGCCTGCTGCAATTCGCTGGCGTCCGAGTGGTTGGGAGTGCTGCTGGTGCTATGCAGTCCAATGTCGCATCCTGGTTATTACACCGACGTCATGAATCAACTTGATATACAGGACGTCAGTATTCACAACGCTTTAGCGGTGTTTACGTGCATTCTGATCGCGAGGCATTGCTTCTCCCTCGAAGATTTCGTCGGTAGAGTTGCGTTGCCAAGTTTACTAAAGGTAAATTCGTGCTCTGCTCAATACCGTTGTTGAAAATATACTGGCGATCATTTAGCAGGTGAAATGTTTAGATAACGGGGGCGGGGTCGCGGAAGCCGGCATGCGTCTGACGTGTCACTTGCTACTGAGACTGTTTCGAACCGCCGAAGGGCCCCAACCCGGACTTTATTCGGTCGGCTCGCCGCCATTGACAGCTCCTAGGCTACCGTTGGGAATTCGGTTGAGCTGCGATAGGCATCTGCTGGCGGCCGCACACAGGAATATCGACGTTGGTAAGTTAAGAGGTTAATTTTCCTGGTGGGGCGATCAGTAATGGTCGATGATCTGTTTAGGTCCCGTGTTGGCGGTTTTAAAGGCGGTGTTGTTAGTGGGTGATACGACGGCGAAAGAGGGCACCGAGCTCAGCCTGTCCAACATTTTGGGCACCAGCGACTTGCGTAACGGCCCAGACGGTCCAAACTTGGATTTGCCGTAAGTATTTGTTAAAAAATTAAGCAGATAAGGCATCAATAGATCAATGAATAAGACTGTTAGTGAGAAAGATAAGTAAATGTTTAATTATGAAAGGCACATTCACTAAAAAATGTTTAAGTAGTGAAAAAGGCAACGCCATCAAGAGATTGCCTAAAAAAGTACTAAACTTATAATTGTTTGATTGATCTGTTATTTTTTGCATTTTTTTCTACAGTTCTAAGCATTTTAAAAAATGAATTGTGGATTTGACTTCATTTTCTATATTTTAAAAACAATTAATTGGTTATTTTCATGTTTTCATTTTTTTCATATTCTATTTGGATATTTTTGCAATATTATACTCTACTGTGCACATTTTAAAGCCCCTCTCCCAAACTCTTCAAATGGTACCTATAATGGCATTATTTAATAGAATCACAGTAGATAGTTGACAATTTAATGTTACACCGGCATTTCGTAGGCAGAATTTACGATTACGTGTTATGTACGTTATTTTATACTTTTTTTTAGTTATTGTTTTTTATTTGATTCAATTCCTTCAGGGTGAACGTGGATGTTTGCGGATCCAGGACTGCGCATAGGTTCGTCACAAACTCGATACTCTATAATACCTTGTAACTGAATCATGTGCTTCCCCGCTTTGAGTGTGTCACCGACTTCCGAACCTCCATCTATTCCCTTACCACTGCACTCTTTAAATTATCTGTCTTCGTTCTTGCAATGCAACGCTTATTTTTTTTATGTTGTATAATTTCTTATCTTATATATAAATATGTAAATTATATATAGCCTGATAACAAAATTGCTCCATAAAATAAAAAAGATCAAAGCTTGTATATAATGGAAAAAATATTTGGGATAACTGACAAAACAATAGCATGCAATACCAGGTGTCATTTGAACTACTGCCGCGAGGCAGTTCTTTATATCATCACGCTATACATACTTTATGCGCCTGTTCCTTCTAATAGTCACCCAACTGCCTCCATCCCTTTCCAAGGTTATGTTAGTGTTACGTTTGGAAGCCAAGTCCTTTCTTTAAATGGGTATTTGACGCCACCGATTGTAACTAATTCCGACAAATCACCGTTCGTTCCGCAATGGGCAAAACCTTGCACGTTCCATTCTCTTAAACATATGGGGTGTACATATATGCCCGGTCTTATTTTCGAGTGTTATATCGTTGGCAATAATAACTCGAGAATTGGACTAGTGTTTGGATTAGGTTGATTTAATTTAATCGCAAACCGTGAGACGTGACCTTCGTTGTAGACAAATTAGTACCGGAAACCCAGAAGGTACTGCTTCGCTATCTGCTTTCGCAAACCACGTTTTGCGGGAGATTTGCTCCCAACAGTGGGTACTCGACAGATGCCTGTGTCATCCGGAGAAACTATGCGACAGTGATAATTTGCTCGATGATTTATTGAGTCACTCCCAGGCCCAACGGTTATTGCACATGATATGCTATCCGGATATAGCGTCCAGTATCGACGAGCTCGACGAAAAGAGCATGATTAGTAGAATTCTTGAGGTAACGTTTACCATGGAGGATGTTTGCCAAATCTATAATGGTTTGTCATTTAGAATCTCGACTTGTGGACATTGAGGATGTCCTGGCTTGACCTTCAGCTGATGTTTAAACAATATAGTGTCAATACACCTGAACTCTCGCAATGGCTAGACACCGTCGCCAAAGCGGCAATAGACGTATTTCATTTGAATTCTACAAGCGGAAATTCCCCAAAAGCAGAGGAGGGCAAAAAGTCAGAAATTCGTAACAAAACCAATTCTATTTGGTTGGTCGCGCCGCTGGTTGCCAAGTTATCCAGTGCTGTACAGGGGCGAGTATTAAAGGTAATCATGTACTCTCGTATACCCTACTCTATTAAATTTCAAAAATGACCTTCTTCAAGGTCGCTGGTCAAGTTTTGGAAAGCGGTGGCTGGTGCAAGGAACAAAAAACAAAAACTAGAAGCAACGGTGAGAATCAGAGTTTGCTGAGTCATCAGCCTTTCCTAAGTCTGGTGCTGACCTGCCTCAAAGGGCAAGAGGAGGGACAAAGAGAGGGTTTACTTTCGTCTCTTCACCAACAACTTTCGCAGGTGACAATTGAATTAAGCTGAAAGTTTTTGGCAAAGAAAATCTAAATTTACCGGTGCAGTCTTTTGGAGCCAATTAAATTTGATTCATATAAAACTCGCGGGATATTTGAACTACTGTCTACAATTTTTCCAGACCATTTCTAATTATCGCAATTTAATTATTTATCTTAGTTGGTTCAGCAAGCCAAGGAGGGCAACTTGCAAGATGTTTGTCACGGAGAAAGAACGTTAGACGGTCTTCGATTGCGTTTTGCGTTGGTCGGCGGGGTCTTTGAAGCTTTCCAAAGAAATCATTCGGCCGCTATAGACTGGGCTTTGTTACTCGTTCAACTGGTAACCTATGGCATCATCGATCTTCATACTAACAGCGAACTATTCACCACAGTGATCGATATGCTGTCTACATTGGTCCATTCTGCCTTGGCTACAGACAGCCAGGTATGTTACAGAAAAAAAAAGTACTATGTGATCGATTTTGGTATGTTCCGGTAGGATGAGGGACGAAAAATGCATCAAAACCTGATGAAAAAGATAAAAAAGGAAATCGGCGAGAGATTCAATGCGTCGCTGCTGCACATCAAGCAGCTTTTGCCGTTGCCTAGGTGGACCACTGAAATTATAGCCGTCGAACCCGCAGGCAGCATTACAGACAGTAAAGGGAATAAAATCAGCTTCGATAGCGTCGACAAGAAACATGACTTGCAGGTATTTTAATAAATTTCCGATCATCCAATGTGGCATTTTTAGATATTTTACAAATTTAAAATCTTCAAAGTAGAAAGTTGCTGGGGTTTCATTTTTCTTTTTAATTACTGTTAATTATAAAGTAATAAACCGGTGTATGTTAGAGAAATTGTTTGGGATAGACAATAAAAACATAAGTTTGTATAACATTTTTACCTTGGGAGGACACCACAGGAAAATGCACTTTCCAGGGCCCATATTTTTCTAATTGTGATCTGTAGAAAAAAGTGGTATAGGAAATTTATGAAGACGTGGCTCATATTTTTTTGGTTGGTTGCCTTGGTATTTAGTTTTTATTTTGTAAGGTAACGGATAAGCAACGGGTAAGCAGCTGGGATATTTTGGAAGGTATGAAAAATCCGCCGCCGCTGTCTTGGTCTTGGTTCGGTGCGGTTAGGTTAGAAAGGAAACCGCTAACGTGCGAGGACACGCATCGGCTATTGAAGTTTCACACGCACAACCTCCAGAAACCGTCGTCGCATTATTTGGACCCGCCACCCCTGCCGCCAGAAGATCTCGAACCAATTCCCGATAAACCGGTATGCATTCTTTCTATTAATTCTGGTTTCCACTTGGAAGCTTTTACACATCTATTACAAAGTTCTTTACTAAGAATAAAGAAAACTGGAACAGTAATTCTTTAGAAATTAAAGTGTATTGAGTCATTATATGCCAAGGTTGACCTTTTGCCGAAAATGCTGAAATACTTGTGTCAAAATTAGGCAGGACAGGTGATCTAATTAGGAGGTTGAGAGATAGACTATTTCATCTCAATTAGTTAAGCAATACTTTTTGCTAAATCCTCCTCATTTACAAATCGTGCATTTGTGGCACAAAAGCGTATCATTAAATATTGTCATGTGTACGCTATTTCAAATAGCTTGATGTACTCACAGCTCCTTGTTACTTTCAAAGTCGATTAAATCGAATTTTTCGAAAGTATCTACGCTCGTATAAAAATTTTATATCTCAATAAGACTAGATCCTAGGGGATCCCCATTGATACAGAAATGATCAGCGTCGAAAAAACAATTGTTCTTTGAGTTAGATGCTTTTCAACGATCTGCGATGTCCATAAGATATTTAAAAATGGTCGCTGTCGAACCTTTTTCGTCCATCTTTTTTTTTTTCGATTTTCGACCGTTTTTTGGACGTTGTTATGAAACACGAGTGTCCGAAATTTGAAACTATCAACTTCAAATTTCACAACAAATAGCGTTTTGTCCGCTGACGGAACCTTTTGAAATTGGTGGGGCTGGGGAAGTCAGCAAGTGTTTAAAAAAAAATAGCGTTCTCAAGTGTCTAAAAATTCTCGAAATGCGATCGTCAAAGTTATTAGGCGAAAGGATCCATAAGATCCACTGCTATAAATCTTTATTCTTGGTAATTTTCAAAAATATACAGGGTGCTGGCCGGTATTCGCAAAAAACATAAAATTTAGTTCCTATTCTAATAAATATTGGCTATAACTAGAAGGCTGTGATTCAGTAGTCAATTTGTCTTACACCACGATACAGTCCTTATGGACAACTAAAACTTTTGTATTTAAGGTTTTCAGAATGTTCCCGATATTCCCTGCTATATAAAAAATTTATTAAGTGTTCTAAATTTGCACCTATCGACTTCAAATTTAGCAGAATAGTAAAAGTCCGTACCGACACCTAAAAAGTAGATATTGGGCGTAATCAAATTTCGCCAAGTATTTTTTTAAAAATTTTGAAAATTTGTCTTCGGATATTTTGGTTTCCAGAAAACATAATTTTCTTAAAAACTGTTCAACCGATTGGCAAAATTTTAGAACCAAGAAGCGGGGAATATCCGGGGCTATAACTTTTATTTCAGGCATATTTTCGATTATATACAGGATTTTTCAATTGTGGACAAAAATCTAAAAGTCCGTGAAAAAAAAATGGCGAATTTACACAGTATTATAGGCAGCATCAGGAGCCAGAATTTTTGTATTTACGGTTTTCGTCAATCACATACGCTGCTCGAGATATTTGACAAAGTCCATATCAAAATGGGATTCCTCGCGCTCTGAACGTCATGACACTGAATGATTTCAGAAAAAAAATATTTTCTTGAAAATCACTTACGCTATTAGAATTTCTCCATCTGCCATGAACCAGAAAGCGTGGGAGATCCAGGAATATCACCTCTACGTTTAGCATTTTTTCGAAAATATGCAAGGTGTGTCTTTAATGGACAACAAAAACTAAAACACCCTGAAAATTAATGCTTACGTGGATAAATTATTAGCCGTAGAATGAAAAATTATGAAACATGTAATAATTTTTATATATTATCAAAGTTTCGAAGGCAATCTTGTTTATACTGATTATTAAGGTCTCTCTGTTATTGTGTATAAATCTTTTTAGACAATAAGAAAAAATAAAAAATGTTTTGAAATATGGTATTAATGGCTGATCCCGCTTCTTTAATTGCTTTTAACTTTCGTTAAAAAGGAAATTTGCAAAATTTTGTTCCAAAAATTTAGAAATAGAATTTATTAAATGTGATGACTAATGCCATATTTAGGCGGATACGCCTTCATCCGTTGACCAAAGCCCCGCGGCCTTAGGCAAAGGAAGAGGCAAGGGTCAGAGGAAACGCAAACCTAAACCAGGTCCGATGCATGTAAACCCGATGGGTATGGCACAGAACCCGATGGGTCAAGGTAATGCCGCGATGGGCATGAACGTACAAGGGAACAACCCCCAAATGGGCCACAACATGAACGCGTATGGGCAGAACCCCGCCATGCAGCAAAACCAGCAGTATGGCGCGAATACAGGCCAGCAGTGGTACGGTCAGAACCAGAACCCTCAGCAGGGATACTATCCTCCAATGCAGGGTAATTGAACATTATCTGATGTTTCTGTATTTATTCCCTGTTCTTGTATAGTGAACAGATTCGAGAGACCTCAACTGAACACGTCCAAACAAGCCCTGTCAAACATGTTGCGCCAACGACATCCCATCAACAACTACATGCCCGGCATGCAGGCCAACCAGGCGGCCACGCCTCCAGGTGCTGCGTACAACCAGATGCAACGCGGATTTCCTAGACAGGCTATTAGGCAGCAGCATCCTGGTGCTATGCAGCCGAATCAGGCAATGTTTTCAAATCAGTACGGCAATATGCAAGGCGGCATGCCCAACCAGTATGGCAACTTCGCCGGAAACTCCCAAGCGATGATGCAAAGCAACATGCAAAATAACCCGCAAATGATGCAAGGCGCTCAGGGTAACATATTCGGGGGACAGCAACAGGGCTTTGGACAACCAAGACCTGCCCAGCCAGATTTCAGGCAAATGGCGCAAAACCCGAGGGCTCCGTACATGCAACAGGCACCAAATGTGACAATGAACACAAATATGGGAAATATGGGCGGTATGGGAGGACAAGGTAGTAGACAAAATAGTCTCAACTGACAAATTTATATTGGGTTTGATTTACTAGGTGGTCCGGCTCCACCTTACTCGCGTCCAGGTCAGGTAATGCAGCCTGGCGTCCAAAATCAAGCCACTTTTCAGCAACAGCAGAGGATAAGGCACCAGATGCTGCTGCAGCAGCAACAGCAGCAGCAGCAAGGAGGACCTCAGGGTAATCAGCCCGGTTTGGTGGCCCATTTGCAAAGGCAGCAAATGAATCCGGGCGGGTATCACCAACCACCGCCATACAACATGCAATAATTTGCTATTTTCTTCATTTTGTGTAATTATTTATTGGTAGGTTAAATTATCACACACTAGAATCATTTTTGTGATAAATCAACATTTGGATTTTTTGTTCTGTATTTTTGTAGTATAAATGCCGCTTAAAATGAATTGTTTTTACTTATTTTTGTAGTCCACCTTCATTAACTCGCTCACTGGCTGCAATAGTGGTACATTCACCTAATAATAGTTCTGAGAAAATCAGTGATTGAGGAAAATAAAGACTGATATGTTGAGATAAATCAACCCTTCAAAATTTATAATGATATAATTACATATTCGTTTGTATTATTCTCTTTTTAAAACAAAACCTATTTATATTAACTAAAAATAGTTGTTTTTTGATATGTGCGATTGTTGAAATTTCTTCTAATGCGAATAAATTAAATAATTCGCTTCTATCATCCATAAAACGTAAGTTATAGGATCGATGACGTGTCCGTTTGACATTTATTCGTTTTTCAATGCTTTACAAAATTAGGAATTTGCCAACCTACCAATCCCTTATCTATGGAATTACATTTGATTTGTGATTTCAGCGAATGAAAATGTTTTATCTACTTGGTATATGATAATCTCTTATGTTTTTGTCTGATATTTGAATAAATCACAAGAAAAAATAAAAATTTCCGTCAGATAAAAATCTCTTTCCACAATTATGAAAAATCAGTTGAGATTTTTTGAGGAAATCCGCATTTAATTAAAAATTATCGGCGAAGAGCGATGCAAAACGTGATAAATAGCGTGAAAAGCACTGCGTTGGCCGTGGGAGAATGTTTAACGCCGGTTTTAAAGGTGCCACACATGGCCACAAATATTCTAAACTTTTAATAATTTGACACTTTTTAGGAGTCAAAATTTAAAGAAACTGGAGTTCTTACTCCTGAAGAGTTTGTTGCTGCTGGAGATCATTTAGTGCATCACTGTCCTACCTGGCAGTGGGCATCCGGAGATGAATCTAAAGCAAAGTCATATCTACCAAAGGACAAACAGTTTTTAATCACCCGTAATGTGCCATGTACCAGACGATGCGAACAGATGGAGTACTCTGAAGAGTTGGAGAGAATAATAGAATCAGACGATGCTGATAATGGCTGGGTAGATACTCACCATTATGATAAGGAACTGGGAAATGTGGAGGACAAAGTCTCAGAAATGACATTGGAGAGAGAGGAAAGCATGGAGGAAGCTGCATTGAAAAATCAGACTGAAGAATGTGAAGATGAAGATGATGACGAGGAAGCTGCAGATATGGAGGAGTTTGAAGAAAGTGGAATGTTGGATGATGATCAGGTTGTTATAATTTATTTTTCAATGTTAATTGATTACTTACTTGATATATTTTGTGGTTTATTTCATCACATTTATATAGTTTGTTTCTATTTTTACTGAAAGAAAAAATTCCCAAAAACGTTTTTTGGACATTGTAGATAGCAAAGGTTATAAAGCCTGTCGAAAACAGGAACAAAACTGAGGAAGGTGATCAGATTCTGCACACTAGAACATATGATTTGCATATAACATATGACAAGTATTATCAAACTCCCAGATTGTGGATTACGGGCTATAATGAGGTTTGCAATAATAATAACAGTACAGAAGTAGTTCACACCTCTTTTTGTTACAGAAACATGAACCCTTAACAGTAGATGAGTTTTATCAGGATATCAGCAAAGATTATGCAATGAAGACAGTTACAATGGAATCCCACCCACATCTGAGTGTGCCCAAGATGGCATCTGTCCATCCTTGCAGGTATTTGAATAATTGATAAATGAAATTTTTTTAAATGGTTTAAATTAATGATTAAATAAATTTTTGGAATTTTTTTATTCTGCTATTTTTGAACTTGATATTTCTTTTTGATTAAGGCACGCAGAGGTAATGAAGAGCATAATTGAAACTGTCACTGAAGGGGGCGGAGAATTAGGAGTGCACATGTATTTGATTATATTTCTAAAGTTTATGCAGTCGGTTATTCCTACTATCGAATACGATTATACTCAAAACTTCACCATGTAAATTAAAAATTTTTGTGATTGTCCGAATATAAAAATTTTCTGTATTTTTGTGTAAAATTTTATTTTTCTGTTACTTTTATGTTTTACCATTTAAAATATTATTTTGATTAAAATAAATCTTAGCAATAAAAAATGTTTTTGTTTTATTACCAACTTTTTTTTTTTAAACACACTCTAATATTTTGCTAATACACTACAACAATAAGGCTGGCAACAATCACGTCAACAAGAACGCGTTCTCGTTAAAAGACGTTATGAAACATACTTTGCCATCTTCACTCAAGAAGGGGCCATTTTGATTTAACCTTCCTTCATTGACATTCGAATTTTCCGAGAGGAATTGGATATCCGTGTTAATCAAGTTTGTGTCTGAATTCAAACCGACCTGGAAAATAACAGTTGTGTTGATAATAATTGGGTCATCAAGTTGTTTCTTACTTGTTCTTCCGTGTCCTTGTTCTGGCTCAAAAAATCGATATCCACTAACGTCCCATCAGGCATTAGACCCTGTATTTTATTGTTTGACGAAACAATGGGTATCGGATGTCCGTCAGCTGTGGCGAAATTAATAGCGTTTCCCTGGTCATCTAGAATTTGTCTGATTTCTAGAGCTTGCGCTGCCCCCTATAAAACAGAAAATATATAACAATACTAACAACCACAAATCTTATCTAGCAGCCGTTGATTTGCTAATTAAATATATGTTTGGACTGGTTTATATCAAATTATATACAAAAAATATAGAAAAAACAACAGAAAAAGTTGGACACAGAAATTTAGAAGAACCTACTTTTATTGTCTCTCCTGGCACAATAAATTCAATTAATTAATTCAAGTTTATTATGAAGTTAATTTGTACATCAAAGTAGTTCATTTGAACTTCTACGAATCTTTCAAGAATATTCACTGCACATAATAAACTATGAAATTAATGATTTATGCCATATTGCTGTATTGGCATATTTGTGCATGCTACATTATAAACCAATTTGGAAGGTAAACCGCGATAGAAATAGAATAAACTGTAACAATGGACTTATGATGTCACTGACGACTAAAGAGAAAGTGCTTTTATATCAGTGAATACTTCGCTAAAGTAGCAATTTCATTCAAGCTACCGATGTCACGCCAATATCTACTATAGTATTTATGGGTACATAGCTATCACTTAATATAGTGGTCCGCGCGTGCTCCTAAAATGCACAAACTAGCCAACACTCCGCGTCATTTTCTTTCTAAACACCTACTTTAATAAACTTAACTCGTTTTCCCTAAACACTTAACTGGATCTGGGCAAATTTTCAGAAAATACTTTTGTAAAAATGCTAAATTTCAACTGAAAATTACTAAACTGTCAGCGGCCATGTTGGTTGTTGGTAAATCTTATTGGCTGAAAGCGCGCACTGCGTTACTGCGCACATCGATTATTCCTTCACGTAGCTATATGTTTATAGGCAAAAAAACTCTGTTAATCTTTTAATCAGGATATCTGTAGATTATTGAAAATATACAATATTTTAATAGCCTTCAATTCCAGTTAGCTGCAACAAATAAAGCAAATAATCTCGGAAAATTTTGACCGTGCCTTGCTCGTCATTTGAATAGTTGTATTCAGATGCATCAAGTTACTCTTTTAAATTCGCCTATAGTGTTTTTGCGTTTTTTTTTTCAGAAATAACAAAAATAAAAGTAACTTTGAAATCGTTTCCAAAATGGTATCCCGATCAATTTCCACATACGAACCTCCGAACTTTCAAGTTCACCCGATGGGGGCGCGTCCGGCAGCAATGGTTTCGCCGCGATGCGGATCTTCACCCCGTTCGCGTGCAACTTCTTGTGCTTCGTGAGGTTGGAGGAGTCGCCAAAGCTCTTCCCGCACTGCGTGCATTTGAAAGGTTTTTCGGCGAGATGAAGCCTCTCGTGACGCTTCAATGCCCAAGCCTCGGCAAAATTTCTCGGACACTGCTTGCACTTGAACGGCCTTATGTTCAGGTGGCGGCGCAGGTGCAAGTTCCACGTGTCTTTATGCAAGAACGTTCTCGAACAGTGAGTGCATCGAAACGGTTTATCCCCGGTGTGTCTCTTCTTGTGCAACTTATACTGGGAGGAAGTGGTGAAGCTGCGACCGCAATAGTCGCAGCAATACGGTTTCTCGCCCGTGTGGATCCGCCTGTGCTCCTTTAAATTCCCTTTTTGAGAGAACGATTTATGGCACACCTCGCATTCGTAGGGTTTGTCGCCGTCGTGCCACCTCTGATGCAACGACAGCGACGTCTTGTGGGCGAAAAATTGACCGCACTGCGGGCAAACGTATTTCTTCATCCCGGTATGGACAGATTGGTGGTTGAAAAGGTTCGGTTTGGTTTTGAAAGCCAACGGACACTCGGTACATTGAAACGGGCGCTCGTCCGTATGCACGAGTTGATGCTTGTGCAACAGTTGCCGATGTCTGAAAGTTTTGTCGCACTTGCTGCACATGAACCTGAAAAATGGAATCTTGCCATGAATATATCCATGAAGCTATTAGATAATACAAAGGCAGCAAATATAAAATTGACACCCACACACAGGCAATGATATACATTCACCGAAATTTCATGCGTTAACCTACACTTTGTTGTTTTTTCTGAGAATTTTTTAAAGCAGTCATGTTAGGCGTCGTTTTGAAATGACTCGCGCACGCGCACATCGAACATCCCACTCAAACATTTTTTGATGTTGGTTTCAAAAGTATCTCTTTGTCACCATAGATAAGACTTCTATGCAGGGTGTTATTTTAATGACTTCACATCATCCACCCTGATGCCGAATCGATATTTTGTTTGGTTCGAATCCGATAAAAAAGACTATTTTTTCGTAGTCTTATTACACAGGCTTAACTTAAAACAAAATATTAGTTTTTTATTAGTCTAGTCCCTAAGAAGAGCAATCTTGCCAAGTCCTGTTTAGAAGCTGCCAACTTCTTTAATAATGTATAAAAGACTTATATTTTTTCCGTCGACATATAGATAAATACGCACACACGACATAAAGCCTGTGAGATACCAAATGGGTAAAATTTATGATGCACATATTGATTCAAGCATCTGGTTTACTTACGCAAATTAAATAGTTCAAATTTTTATGTTATATTATTTTTTTTAATATTTTAAACCATGTCAACCATGTGAGTAAACTTATGCAAACAGAAGTTTATGATATTCCTTCTGTCATTGAGGCTTTGAAGAATTTGGACATTTTTTTTTTCATAATTTAGAAGAATGTCAATTTGATCAACTGCTTGTGGATGCAGAGGAACTAGAAATTGCTTCCAATTTAAAAATAGCCATCCGGATCCTTTTAACACTTCCAATAACAGTTACTACCGAAAAAAGAAAAAAACTAAACTAAAAAAAAAAAAATTAAATACCACAATCATACAACAAATACGACTTTGTAGTCTTGCTATTATTGCAATAGAACACAAACAACAACAAAAAAGTCCGTATAAATAATTGCTTGTAAATAAATTTGCTTTCATTTGTATATCTACCTCGGCTACCTTCATCTTTTTAAATCATAAAATTTGTATAAAAACCTTCAAAAACGTTTTTAAATAATTTTTTTCGTAGTTTCTTTTTGAATATCTATTGTTGAAATGTTCAAGATAGTACATGTTACATAAAAAATTTTTTACGGTAAGTCATTCTCGTCTTATAGGACACTCACCATGAATAACCCTGTATAATAGGTATATTCACTTACAAATGTTTGCTATGCACCGTCTCTTTGTGGTAAAACAAGCTACTCGGGTGGTGGAAGAACTTCTCGCACTTGTCGCAACTATACTCGTGTTTAAATTTGCCAGAGCTGTTGGAATTCTCGTGCCTGAGCGTGTGTATTTTTAAACTGTTGGCGTAACAGAACGCTCTGTTGCAGTAAGTACACTGAAAGGTCTTTACCCGGTTGTGGATCGCCTTTAAATGCACCTGGTAGTTTTGTTTGCAGCTAAAGGTTTTGTTACATTTGTCGCACTTAATGGGGCTTTCGACGTTAGATTCTGTAGGTTGAGGTGCATTGGCAGCATCGTCCGGAAGAATAACCAAACCTCCCTAAAGATTGAGAATTCTGCACTACCTTATCTGACATCTTAATATAAATGACTACTATTTTTATACATACAGTACAAAATATATGTTAAATAAATAAACTTATTTGCTGGTACGAAATTTCAACATCACAAAAATGATATATTTTCAATGTTAATTCTTTTTTTTTTTTAAACAACTTTTCCGAGTTCAATAATATAAACAATTTATCCTGTTTAAATATAAAAAAAAAATCATTCTTACCATTATGCAAACTGCTCTATATTAGTTTTAGTTTTTGTTAATATTACTTTTAATTTTCCCCCTTATACTTGTACTTTAAGCATTCTATACATATGATTTTGTTTTGTAAGATTTGCTTATTGAGCTTGAGTTACTTGTTTAAATTTCGTTTAAATGGGCTCGGGCATGTTGGAAATAAAGAGCTATTATTATTATAATATTACATTTGGTTTGGACCATAAAAGCAGATCTAGTTATCCTACCCTATCATAACCTTTCTCAGCCACATACCGCTGACTTAGCTTCTTCCATAATGGACATATCACTATGCCCTGTTTCACTTTGGTGCTGAACTAAAGCCTCTTTCCTGTTACTTTCAAAATTACATTCAGTGTTTTTACACACATATTTAATTTTGTGGTTCTTCCTATGCAATTCATATCTTCCATAGTGTAAGAACTCCTTCTTGCAAATATTGCATTTAAACTTCCTCCTTGATCCTATAAATTACGTGAAACTGCAAAGTAATATTCCAATAGGCATATGGTTACCTTTAGAGTTAAGTTTCTTATTGCGAAATATTGGTTTTCCTAGCCCATCACCATTTTTTAAAACCTCCCGCCCAATAATAACACCTTCAGATTTTTGTGTTGCACCACTTGATTCCTCTGATATATCATCCTCATCTATTACTCCTTCTTTTTTTAAAATATTGTCCAGCTCTTCCCCCTTAAAGTTGAATTAAAATGTTACTATCAAACAAAAAAGGGATGGATATATTTACTTGCACAACTCCATCATATCTGAAAGGAGTTTTTATTTTCCTCCTTCTTCTACCATCAGAATCATCCACACCATCATCTTTTTTAAGGATTTCTTTATTTACTGTATCCTCCTTAGGAACAACTTTTTGAGCTTTTGGTGGTCGTCCTCTTTTACGTCTTGGTTTATCTAGACCTTCAGCTTTTAGCGACAGCTCATGGTCAGCAGGGAACAACGGACCTTCACTGTAAACTGATAACAAGACTCGGTTAATTTAAAAGTCACTTTGGAATTTGTTGGAGACTGTAATTAAATTTATTAGGGTATTCATACAACATTTATCTATAAAAACAGCAACACAGGGCATACTTTGTATAATATATTTTTCGCCATTGCTATCTGTTTGAATTGTATAAGTTTCCACAGTAGCATTTGGATTGTGTGTGTGGAGGACCTTTTCCAGCTGCAACCTCTTATATTCTTCACGGTTAAGGAGTTCTTGGTTTCTCAGCAAATTCCTTAGTTTTGACTGCCCTTCTATAACAAGATCCAAAAATGACTTTGTGGCTTCCAATTGAATATGACATCCAGGACATATCGATTTCGGGTAGCGATCGTCATTTTCTATCTACAAAAATATCAAAGGAATATTTTAATTTTAAATTTCCCAGACAAACTGAGAAAGTCAAGCGCAATACTGCTTGTTAGAAAAAATCAACCTTTATTGGCAGATATCTGTTTATCAAGCTAGTTAAATCTCCTTTTTCTTCGTCAGATGTAAATAAATTGATACCATTTTCATTTTCTTCGCAACAAAGCCTACAGAAAATTGAATCACATAAGTTTGCTGCCTCCATGTTTGTTGTTTTTCAATACGAAATTGCTTCTTCTCCCTGCCTTTTACATTATATGATGATCAAAATCGTTACGATCACTCTCCCATTACCGACATGCACTAATTGATATGTGTAATTTGCTCACAACTTACAATTTTATATTCTATGGTAACAGGACGGAACAAATCAATAACAAGTTATTGGCTACCTCCACACACCATCTGGGAGCTATTCTATCTTTTATCTATAACCTGGTTGGCTACTACACAGAACATAATTCTTTACTGCAAATTTTCTACTAAATTTCAAGCATCGCATCTTTCGTTGATACAATATAGAGGGTGGTCCACATACTGGAGAAACTTCAACAGCGTATTGAGCAGATAAAAATAAGTAAAAGAGTGTTGAAATATAGAAAAACATGTTTTTCCTCTAAAAAAAATCGTAGATTTTGCCCTCAAACTTAAAAACAAATTTATAGCACAGATAAAATTATTTCAGTTTTAATGAATTTAAATAATAAAATTAATGGTATGCCAATACTTTATCGCAATTCTATTATCTAAATGCCCTGATCAATTCTAAACAAAGATTAGTTGCATACGTGCACCTAATTGACGTACCACTTTTTTTGTATTATTTAAATTAATTAAAACGGTCTCACAAACGCCAATGATGAAACAAAATCATGTTTATCTATGGTATAAATTTGTTTTTAATTGTCAATAATCCCTAGTAAGTTTGAACGCAAAATCTAAAATTTCTTTTTAATAAGAAAAAACGTTTTTTTTTTTTCAATACTTCAACACCCTGTACCTCCAAAAGCATTTTAGGACATAAGTTTATATGAACTATTTTTATCTGCTGAATACGCTGTTATAATTTCTCCATTAAAATTCGTACCACCCGGTGGTTACCTATTGTAAATAATAGTATATTATGCAACAAGTGCGGTAAACAGCATTTGACTCACGAGTTTATTTGACACGAGCGGAGCGAGTGTTTAATAAACGAGTGAGTTAAAAAGTTTACTGAACTTGTTGCATACTATAAAATTCAAAGCGTGGGAAATATCTCCGAAAACATCCGATTGCTCCCAAATCCGTGCGGTAAAATCCCGGAAATATCTGAAGTGGCTCGGATTCATGGGAAAGGAAACTGACGTGGTAATGTGACGCTTCCCGCACGCTAGATCGGTGGGTAATTAACTATTTTACAGATGGGAGTAGAAAAAATATGTTATGTCTGTGTTCAGTAAAAAGCGATTGACTTTATTCAGATGAAGTTTCCGGCCACCTTTATATTGGCTCAGAGCCATGTTAACATGCTTAAAGTCCTTACTTATTACATATGTCCCTTCTTTTCTATTCTATTAATTGATGTTTTGTGATTCACTTTCCTAAACTAATATCAAATTTTCTTACTCTAATATAACTTTTTTAATTATTTAGTGACCCTGAAACACGTAAGACAATTTGTACCATATTATAAGGTGCCTTTATTCACATGAAGTTTCCGGTGATATTTTTAATTGCTCAGCCCCGTTAAACGAATAAAAGTCTTATCACTTATTACACACACGAGACCTATGACATCAACGCATTTTTAAATTTTTAGGAAAATATTAATAATAAAGTTCAAGGGAGTTGCCGAATTTTGAAGACTAATCTACTTCGCAACGGACTAGGATACCTTTAGATAATTTTCTTTTTAATTTATGCCTTATAAGCTATGTATTTTCATTATTATTAACACATTAGTTTGTTCCGGAGTTTTTAACCCCATATGAATCAAAATGATGCAGACAAATTTCTTCGGATCTTGCATGATATAGCACAAAGAAATGTGAATTTAAAGAAAATTGCAAATAATTAATGCGAATAATGGTGCAAATTAAAAAAAAGGCATTACATACTTTGCTTAGTTTTCGAAATGTATTATGATGTTGTGATATATGTCACGATATTTTCTTCTATAATGAGTGAAAAAAATACATAATCTCTTCCTAAGATTGCCTGCCAGCTTTTTTAGTCATGGTAACAATTTCGAAAAAAATTTGCCTGATGTTTTGCGGTTAGATATTGATTGGCCATTTTTTATTTGATCAAAGGAAACTTAAGCTCAAAGGAATGATTGATGATGTAAACAATATAATTACTGACGGCAAGCGCATTGGTTTTTATTAAAGTCAATTTTCAAGAACCCGGCTGCTCAGTTTGCATTGTTCGATCATCCGCTAACAGCAATAAACGGTTGTTGTAGATATAGCGCAAAAAGTAATAATGTTGCTCAGTTAAAGTTTGTCGGCCGCGGCGAGATGTGAGATTATAATATGCGATATAGCGAACGATAAAAAGTGTAAACATTCGAATCGATTATTAAGCTAGGTAGGGGTTTTCACACGTTTTATTCACGCATATTAAATCATGCTATTTTATTTTCCGGAGTAAATGCGGTGTAAAACCGTAATTAATTTGCGCATGTGGTTTAAATTAACGTTAACTATGTAGAAAATCTTACCATCCGAACTTGAAAGATGGAAAAATCAACCAACAATGCCAAAAAAAGTGCAAATATTGTCGGTTTTAAACTTAAGGTACAAAATGTAAAAATAGTGAGTCTGAGGCAGTGATAGAAAAGTGAGGCAAATTTTACAATAGGTATAGACGGCTCGTTGTTTGACTACTTCATTTACCGATATAAGTATTACTGAAGTTATTTACATATTATTATTTAGCGATCAAAAATTATTTTCTTTAAATATTTGTGTAAAATAAAGTAGCTAATAACTTCTTAAAAAATCTTTTTCGACTTCAAAACTTAAGAAACCTAATAATATGTTATTAATAAATGTTTTTTATTCTTAAAGGAAAAATATACATTTTTTAAATTTTTGCGACTACTAAATTCTGATTTATTTTTTATTTCCAACTAATAAACACATTATGTTATTAACAATTTTCGATATCTACAAGAAAGTACTTCATTGGTACAATTAAATTTATATATTTATTTATTTATACAATAACTCGAAGAGGGGTTATTATATATTAAGAAAACAAACTCAGATCATGTAATTTGCAATAGATGTAGATGCTTTAGTTACCCGAAAAATAATCTTTTTATGTGACAAGATTTATAAATGCCACTTTAGTCACGAGATTGAATTGGCACGAGCGGAGCAGAGCGAAGAACTTTATCAATGTGTTGCGCAAAGGCTACCTAATCTAAATATACAAGGAGTTTAAAAAAACATGCGTCAACGCTCGGTTGCAACACAAGTGGGTCGTTCGAAGTAAATAACGAAAATGGTAAAAAAGTCAGTGGCGTCAGAATATCTTTTCAACAATCCTAATCGTTAAGATACACCCCGGGACGGCACTGTATTTTGATATAATGTATGCAAAATTACACTTTTACCATTATAAACTCATTATAAATGAAAAATTTCAACAAAATGGGGCAGAAAATATTTAACGTTTTTTAAAAGGCCTTCATTTTAATATTTAGAACGCTTTTTTTCTTTTGTTTGGATGACAAATTTCCTCTCCTCTTGTTGATAAGTTTAATGGCACATATTATAGTAAATTATAGAGACTTGACAAATATTAGATGTTTGGCAAAACTACTCAGAATATCTCATTTTGTGTGAAAACCCTAAATCACTGTCGAGGTGCGACGATTTTATATGAGGATACACTTATAAATGAGGCAATGAAAAAATTTTTTTCGCTCTGTATTTTTTACTAATTTCATGCGCTTCGCATAGATGTAAAACAAACTTTTGTTATTTTTGCGTGAGTATTATGTTTTATATCGACACATGATACGATTATTGCGATCACCTTGCACCTTACACTTGTCGTTCACGGTGTCACATTTAATTACTTACATAGTACGTAGACAATAGCAATTAATTAGAATGCGTTTTAATAAACCGGTGATAAAAACTTAACCCCAAACCTCTTTAACTCTATACGTCAGACTTTTAGGTGTTTATTATAGTCTCCCCAGTATTATAAGGGAGTAATAAAATTTTTTGCTAAGTTGCATTAATTTCGCATAAAACCTATGAAAAAATGCCTTTATCAACATTCTTTTGAAAACTTCAAAGATGCCCATATTATCTATATTATCAGCATAGGAATACAGGGTGTTTCACAAAACATACACCAACGCTCGACTGGAGATTTGCCATCCAAATAAAAATGAACAAAAAATCATATAAATGTAGGCCCGAAAATGAGAGAGACTTGGTTCTAAAAAAATAACACTTACGATAATTATCAAAATGACCACCATTAGCTTTATTGCAGCCATGTAGCCTACGACGATCAATTTTTCGCACAAGTGATTTTTTGAATATTGAAACTGAACATTTCCGGACGTTTAGATCAACTTTTTTTCTCTTTTTTTCAAGACAAATCTTCAGCCGAGTGTTGACGCACCCTATATGTATGGTCCATACCATATAGCTGCACTGATTTATGTGGCAGTGTCGATCTAGCTTTTCAAACTGATCCGCCCACAATCCACCCTTCCATTGTAGGGATATAAGGGAAATAAGAGTCTGTCCTTTATAATTCTTCAGTACTCAGTAGGCTTTTTTGTGAGGTTACGGGAGGCACGCAGTGTCATAAAATTTGAAAGAAAATGAAAAAATCAATTTTGCTAACCTTTATAAAATTTACCTATCAAAATCAAATCTATCTAAATTTTATATAATTTATTTACCTACCTTATACAACGAAAGTTACTTTTTTAAATTTTTGCTTACCTAAATATACATTCAGGTTTTATTTAAAAAGATATTATGTTTTAAATAACAGAAAAAAATATTTACTTCGATTTTTTTCTCAAAATACAGTGGCATGGTTTGCGGAGGGGTGCAACTTTCAACTTTTAACTCAGCGTATCTCCAAAAAAGAAAGAAGTGACAAAAAGGGCCTGCTAGTACCAATTCATTTTGTGGAATCGCCATTAAAAAGTAGGCTAAAATTCAAACAACACATCTTTATTAAATCGGTTTAATGATTATTACATTTTATTATTATTCTTAATTATAGCCAAAACAAAGTGCTTATAGGTATTTCCCTAGTTTATTCAACCGTTTACGCAAGTAGTTAATTACAGTACCAATGTTTCTAGGAAGGCATGATTGTAATTACAAATTTTACATTACCAAACGTCATCTTATTCAGTTCTAAATTAAAAAAAAAGAAGATATTACAATGCGCGTTTTCGATTAGTATTGGTTGGTTTATAGTTAATATATACATGCAATTAAGATCAATTTCAAGATCATCAAATTAAACGCGTTAGTCAAAATAATGAACACCAATCTCAGCAAACATTCTAGAATTCTTCTTATTAGAAAACTAACATAAGGTCGAAAATATTTTTTTATTACGCAGAGGGACACTTAATTTATATTCCTCCATAAACAGTAGGTACCATTACTGTGTCAAATGGCGTATACTCTTTTACTGTTTAAATATTTATTCGATTTTACATTCTCGCCTTCGCATACGCGCGAGTATAAAATGGAAGTGCATCCTTTACTTCTAACTCTCCTTAAACCGTTGCTATAAAAAGCGTCTTTACGTCAATTCATTTGGAGAAAATTTACGAAGCGCTTAGACATTTCATTAATAATTATACTCTCTGAAATTTTTATTTAGTTAATATCTTTCGTTTTATTGACATTAGTTAATAAGTTGTCAGACAACATTAGAGATCGAGCTATTTTTATTACGAAAAAGCAGCAAATAATCTAAGGATGAAGTTTTACGGGTTCGATATTTCAATAAAGGAAATTCTAAAATTAAATTTCGATTGGCCTTTTTTTTCGTGCGCCATATTTGGCGGTCAAATGCCAAAACGAATGTTAATGAAGTCTCAATCGGACTACGTGAGTGTAATAATTAAATAAAAAAATCGCCAATCGACTACAAATTAATTGAAGTGATCGTGACGACGAGGACGATAACCTCGCCATATTCCTAAATTTCGTAGCCCACCTAGTGTATGATGACTGAGTATGACCACGCATTTAACGGCATAGCCGAATGGGGTCATATCGCAAGGTCTGGGTACTGTCTATAAATAGTATCGACCACCTCCATAATTCGAATTTAGTGGTTCTTTGAGACAGCTTTTGGTTTATATTTAAAAAAAAAGTATTTAATTGTATATTTAGTTTCCTTAGTAACACTAATTAATAATATTATAATAACAATTTGTTTTTTGTTTACATTTTATATTTACTGGATATTTGGTATAATAAAACGACTAACAGAACCAACAATATGACGCCAAGCAAAACCAAGTCTAAGTATTCTTTCGTACTGATATGGGGCTGAAGCGTACCCTTGGGATTCTCGTACGGAACCACGCGAAAATATACATTCTCGACGTCCCAGTTCAGTGGGCTGCTCTTATTTTCCTTGCCGAATTTTCCGGGAGCGTTTCTTCTGAACCTCGTTATTCCAGGATTTTCGGTAGAGCAAGTCTCGGCCTGAAATTAGGCGGTTCAATGACAACGACAAAAAAAATACTGCACTTATGTTACTAAAATCGTATTATTAAGCGCTATAGTGAAGTCATATAGCTACTAGAGATATAGAGGCCCTGTCAATCTTGATAATACCAATGAGCTTGAAGCATTCAACAACCAACATGGCTAACAGTATTTTCTCCACTAAATTTATTCAATAAAAATGGATTAAATGTGTGAATATCGCTGTTTATAAATAAAATGGCGTCAGGTGCAGGTTAGTGGGTCAAATTTAGAGGCATGCGTGGTAAACCATTCTCTTCTGTTCGAAAATATCAATTCTAATAGCTATATAATAGGGAACTTGACCATTTTTTTATTTCTTTAATACATTTGTTTATGTATAGAAATGACGCTTGCCAAATATCAAGACTCAAAAGCCAATATTAATGTTGCAATAAATAATACAAATTGTGGCACCCGGTTATTCCTTTTAAACAACACTAAACGCTCGGGAATGATCGTGACGTCAAACCGCTCTTTTTCGATCGATACGTCGACATGTTATGGTGTTATTCTCAGATTATAGACAGAAAATTACATTATTTACTTTTATTTTTGGCTCGTGTAAAGGTGTGTTTGTATTTAATCTACGCCGGTTTGTATTTGTGCTTAGTGTGCTTTACGTGTTAATAATGGAAGCAACACAAAAACAATATTACAAATCGTGCCATCGTGTTTGAGTACAACCCGTAAAACGCCAGATAAACTTTTTATTAGTCTACCGGAATATAAAAGCCGTCGTTTTTTGTTAATTATGTTCCGTTGTCAATTTAGCCTTATATAAAATTCAGAACACTTAAAGTTATAAATTCATATATATTTTACCATCAGAATTTAGGTTTCCACCAATTTAAAAAAATCCTTTTTGTATTTTTTGTTGTTAATTTACATTTTGTATTTGTGCTTAGTGTGCTTTACATGTTAATAATGGAAGCAACACAAAAACAATATTACAAATCGTGCCATCGTGTTTGAGTACAACCCGTAAAACGCCAGATAAACTTTTTATTAGTCTACCGGAATATAAAAGCCGTCGTTTTTTGTTAATTATGTTCCGTTGTCAATTTAGCCTTATATAAAATTCAGAACACTTAAAGTTATAAATTCATATATATTTTACCATCAGAATTTAGGTTTCCACCAATTTAAAAAAATCCTTTTTGTATTTTTTGTTGTTAATTTACATTTTGTATTTGTGCTTAGTGTGCTTTACGTGTTAATAATGGAAGCAACACAAAAACAATATTACAAATCGTGCCATCGTGTTTGAGTACAACCCGTAAAACGCCAGATAAACTTTTTATTAGTCTACCGGAATATAAAAGCCGTCGTTTTTTGTTAATTATGTTCCGTTGTCAATTTAGCCTTATATAAAATTCAGAACACTTAAAGTTATAAATTCATATATATTTTAACATCAGAATTTAGGTTTCCACCAATTTAAAAAAATCCTTTTTGTATTTTTTGTTGTTAATTTACATTTTATTTGATATACCATTCGAGCTGATTACAATATTATATTGGTTTAATGGCTATCATTTTGTTGACTTAAACCAACCGTTCACCTTTCCGTCCATTATGTAACTAACCAAGCCTCACCCTTAAACAATCGCGGGATTGTAAGCAACCCCTCACCCTGGTAGACAGTACCATTTCATCGCCTCTGGGAGTGTCCTCGAATAAGAACGCTCTAAATCGAACCTCCGTCTCCAGTGGCGTCACTTGCTTGGGTTGTTGAGGACAAACGTTCTTCATGGCGGGATTCACGCACCCGTTTTGGTTTACCAAAACCGCCGTTTTTTTCGATGACAGTCCACTGACGACTACCGGCCCCACGAAACTATTTTTCCAGCCTGCGATGTCGTCGTCTATGGCAGCCCTTAAAAGCAGCTCCTCACCCAGTTGGATGACGCTGTTGGATTCAAGGGGTTGATCGAAAATGTCACTCGAGCTGCGTCTTCGAAAAATATTAATTCTGGTGTTTAAATTTGCGTTTGAGCCTCCGTTGGCGACTATTCCGTTGTTGCTGGAACGCCCTCTGTCGTTCGATCTGCGAAAATGCGATTTATTCGGTCGTTTCGAATTTACAATGACGGATATATTCAGCCAAACTCAGAATTAGGCTTATTTCTTATGATTTTCAATTAATGTTATTACCTATTTGATTTTTATTACTATATAATATATAAAAAATATCTCAGATAAGAATCGAAACAATAAGCTTAATGATGCTTTTAATAATAATATTTTAAATAAAATCTATTTGTTTTATGTAGTATCGATAAACCCACGATATCCATGCTGAAGTAAGAGCTGCACTATACAAAAGCATTTCTATGCAATTACATACAATTAAATTGACAGTATAAGCAGCCAACGTTACATCTCTGAGTATTTTGGGTTGCATTTCGCAAATGTAAATTTAGTTACAGGCGAACAAAAGTTAATTTTAACAATTAAGCGATAGAAAAAAACACCAACGGAACTAATTCAAACTAAGGAAACGGAAACAGGTTTTGATTATACATTTCCACTTGATATACAGGATGCCATTTTTATGTTCGCGTATAATTAAGAGTGCGATTTTTAAGACCTCTATAGGACTACTAATTAATGCAAAACGGTTGTGTAAGAAAAATGTCAAGGCATAGAATTTGCTACGAATTTTTATCTCTACAAAACACTGTCATGTAAAATATATTTTGTCCACATCAATACCATTGATACAAATTAAAATGAATGTCACCTAGTTATCGCCCTCAAAAAAAATATATTACTCCAAATATAACGATGTGGAGAGAGAATATTGGTCTCTTAAGCGGCTTCCTTCTGAGGGAATTCAACAGTTGAAGCCTACTAAGCTTAATTAATTAATCAAAAAAAGAGACCCAGGAATTAAAAATATACAAAAAAGCAAAAAAAAACTAAAAAAGGAAGACAAAGATGTTTTGTCATGAACATCAGTAAACATTCATTCAAATAAATGCCCACTACTACTCGTCATAAATTTACTCTTCGTTTGATGGTAGGAACAACACTTTTTAAATAACTCTTTTTTGTACTTAACAAATACTGTCGACGGTTATTTATGTTATGAACATCCGTACTAGATTTTAGTTTCGTTTAATTATCTTATAAAATAGTCATATACTGCAAGCCACTGAACTATTGAAAGACATCCCAATTCTTCAAACCTACTCACCGGATATTCTTGTTGCCCAATTTGATGTGCCTGGTAGTGCTAACCACCTTATCCTGTGGCACACACTGAAGAGTAACGACGGTGTCTTCCGGAAGTCTAATTCCTTTTACCGTCGGTACCCTAGCGACCACGCACATATTATCCCGCTTCTGATTGTAGCTGTTACACCTCCTGACTCCGCAACGCGCCATACGATTCGAATCGTTTAAATCGATCCGAAACGTTGACGTCGACATCGAAGTTAAGCAATCATCCGCTCCTTGTTCGATTACGGGAATCACAGAGCTTTCCATTTGGAAAGTGCACTTGAAATTAATGTCGGTCGCGCAGGACATATTGAGCACTTTAATCTGAGGTCTGGAAGGCAGGTATCCGGTACCGGGAGGAATAGCGGGTACCACTACGCTATCGTCTTCAGAAGGCGTTAAAGGCGGGTATAAAAATGGCGGCGAATACGTGGAGGATGGCGGAGTTTCATCCGCGAACACTGGTGGCAGGTATATCGCGGGGGGTGGAGATGGTACGTCGATAGAAATGGGCGGAAAGGGTTGAGGGTAGAAGTACCCGATGTCGTTTGTCGGATACGAAGCACTAAATGCGGGCGAGAGGAAAAATAGTAGACCGCACAGCGTAAGGCACATTCTGACCATTGTTTATTTTTCGATCTGCTGCGCTTTTATTTATAAGCTTTTAATAATACGGAAATCGTGACCGAAAACCTGTTGTCGTACGGCCCAAATCGTGTAGTAGTGACATATCGTGTAAATCCTCGAAGAAATTTTCGGTAGCGTTTTCCTTTACCGTGGCTGGTCTACAAGTAGGTATAGTTGTGAAGAGCAACTTCGGAAAGTTGACGAAATTAACGAAATTAAAAACTTCCCTCTCACAAATGTATTAAATATGGCGACTGATTGTAAATTGTAAAATATATTCGTTAATTTAATTTTAATACAAACATACAGGGTGTCCAAACAGCGTGTCAAAGTTTATTATTTGTTTTAGAGCAAATGTTAAATACAAAAGAAACAATTTAAAATTATTTTCAAATATGTGGAAAACCAACTTATATATTATGACATTAGCAAATAATTCCCCTTATACTCAATCATCCAATGTAGGGTTGTTATGGATTATATTTAGTGTTATGGATTCTTTCACGAAAATTAATATTTTTCTTTTGACTCGACGATTTGAATTAACTTCAAGACAAGTATGGGATAAAATTTATAGGATAGATAGGATGAAATTTACAAAAAATTGTTGGCCAAATCAAATTACAGCAGTCGAAAACGGCGTCAAAAATATAGCGCATTAAACATAGGGCAAAGATGGCCATAAATCCGAACAGTCAGTATATTATGTATAACCCTGTATATTTGAATATAATTTCAAATTGTTTCTTATAACTTTTTTTTCTAATTTCTCCTCCCCCTCCTCCTCCTGCGTATGTTTTTGTTTTTGTTGAGTCAAACTAGGTAATGTTTCGTCAATCATCCTGTTGACTTCTTCAGAGCTTGACTGAAACTGACTCACATTTTACTCTGTACCTATATTGTTTGCGGGGGGCGCAGCTAAATGAAGGACATAAACACCGTCTCGGATGACTGATTCCCATATTGGTGACAGGTATAGAGTGTCGGTTAAGATTGTTAGGTTGTTTATAGATTTCTATAGACTCTCGGATTTTTCATTGGTAGAAAAACTGATTACATGCAAGGATTTTAGTTTTATCGAATAAAATTTTATGTCCGGTTTTATGAGTGTGCTCGGCAACAGCTGATGAGATTATTTGTGTTAGTCGTAAGGCTCTTTCGTGTTCTTTGAGCCTAGTTGATATTTTTCGTCCGGTCTCGCCAATGTATTATTTGCCGCATATGCATGGAATACTGTAAACTCCTGACATCTCAAATGGAATTTTGTCTTTGACGGACCGAAGATGTCCGTCAAAGCAAAAACCGACGCAGGAGGAATCCAGAAGTTTTGTAAAAAGTAGGTCTCTACCTGTCATCAATATGGGAATCAGTCATCTGAGACTGTGTTTATGCCCCTCATTTAGCTTCGCCCCCCTCCCGCCCCAAACAATATAAAATCATGTACAGAATAAAATGTGAGCCAGTTTCAGTCAAACTCTGAAGAAGCCAACAGGATGATTGGCGAAATGTCAGCTAGTTCGAATCAAACAAAAACCGACGCAGGAGGAAACCAGAAGTTTTGTAAAAAGTATTGCAGTAGCCTGTGGAAGTTTCACACACTATTTGGGCAACCTGTATGGAATATAATGTCGGTCAAATGTCCGTTCTTTTCTCAAAATTTTGAGCCACATTTTGGAACAGCTTTCAATATTAGTCAATTGGGGCAGCAAAAAATCGCTTATTATGGTTTGGTTGCGGGGAGAATTCACGGTAACGACCTTTCCTTGATCATTTAAAAAAAAAAGGAGTCGATGATGCCGCCTGACTACAAACCGCAGATCTTTCTTGGATATAATGGTTTTATGAGCACTGTTTGTGAATTTTGTCCCATATCCGCCAATTTTGTTTGTTTACATAACCGCCTAATGGAAAATGGGTTTCCTCATTGATTGGTTGATTGATGATAACGAGAAAAAACTACTAGAATTTTACGAAGTGGTGCAATAAATTTTTAAAAATTTTGATAATAAATTTTCGTAACTAAAATCCATTGTTCAAGAGAGTAGCGCTCCATGGTTAAAATTGTCCAAGTTTTTACTAAATTAAATGTCTCGGAACCACATCTTAATCCTTGACATGTCATCATTTGACAGTCTATTACTTTCTTCCTTAGATTTGTCTTCCAGTATACTTGTAGATCCTGGCATAATTTAGCTGAGAATAACATAAACAGCTAAGCAGTTTGTAACTACGTTTGAAGTGTGATATTAATTTACTGTCTTATCGGGTCACTGAAGAAATCGTTTTTGAGGCATTTTTAAAATTTTGTTACTTCTGAATTTCTCCACAGTGGGTGGAACGGAATAATATTAATTTCAGTCAAACTGTCATTGTTGAGTTTATAGGTGTGAGTATGCCTCAACAGAGTACAATACTGCATGTAAATTTGACAAATTTCTTATGTACTTCCCGTTCAAGCGGAAACCACTTTGCACATATTTTTTGCATTTTTTTATTCAAGAGATTAATCTACGCAGAATACAATTTTTTTCGGAATCTTTATTCTTTAAAAACTCCAATATTAATATATGGTATCTACGCGAATATGACCACAATAAATGTGATGAGAAAAGTTGTAAATACAACGCAAATAATTTTTTAGCATGACCAAGTTTTTTCAAATAGGGCCCTATTGGGAACATAGACAACCAATACTTTTTCTTCAACATTTTGAAACCAAAATTAAAAAATAAGCTCACATGAAGGAAAAACCGAGATCTGTATTAGCCATTGATTTTGGATCATGAAAATCAATTTGGTAAATAGTTTTTATTGCGGTCACAGCCGCCTAGATACAATTTGCAATATTAAATAAAAATTTAAAAACAAGGTTATATATCCTTATGTAGCCTACTATATCCTTCGTGGAATAATCTCCTTAATATATGGTTAATATATGAACTGTACTAAAAAATATATTCAACTTACCAAAAAAGATTCTTGATAACTCATTAGTTTAATTAAACAAAAATAATTTTCATTTAGATAGGAATTTATACACTGGAATAATATTAATTTAATCTTTTTTCTTTATCTTTACATAATATTTTTTTTGTATTATACGCATTATAAAGATCAGAATAAATGAATATAAATGTTTGAAATGAAATTGCTTGTTATATGCACCGTTTTATAAAAACTGTTTTTTACTGTTTTTTAGTTCCATTAAAAGTTAGTTAAAGCTGCGATTAAAGATCCGGATTTGGCACATTACGTTGTACTTATCGAAATCCCTCGTAAGCAGATTGAATTTCGGGAAGATTATGTTGTCGAGTGGCAAATTAATCATTTGGTTGTTAATTGTTCTCTCGTCGCTGGCGATATCGAGTTTGCAATGAGGCGAAATTTACAGTTTGGCCTGATTGTTTTTATTAGCTGACGAACTACATATACGGGTTAATAGGGTATTAAATTAATGGCGTTTTGGACATGCCTTATAACAGAAGACGCGGAAATTGTTTCGCGCCAGTATAAGTAAAATAATTAATTATGCCGTTCGGTCGCATCTCGGCAAGTATTTATTGGTGATAGAATGTTACCCGTGAAAACACAGGTAAATCCGTCAAAAGAAAATGCTTTAAATTATTATTAACTTGTCAGATTAACCCCTGGGTCATGTAAGAATCTAAGTAAAAACTTGGGTAGCATTTTCCAAAATTCAAAAATCACAACCGCAGAAGTGAGAGGAAAACATTCTATCTCAAAAACCGTTTGTTCTACCCAAAAAATTCTTCAACCAGAAGATGTGCGATTTGGGACTTGAAAACTTCTCTGCCCCTGATGTATCAACAATATATAGGGTGTGTGGATTATTCACTTTGGCCATAACTGAAACACCGTAGTTCAGTTGTCGGTTTCTTACCCATGTCTATTTAGGCCGTATAGCAGTCTTGCATTTAAAATTTTCATATATCATACAGGGAGTACAAACACGTACAAAATGTGACAATCGGACATCGACAAGCATTTTTACAAAGTTTTGGATATTTTTTTTGGATTATTTAGGGTTTCAGAAAAATATTGTTTCTGAAAAACTGTCAGCTCTTAAGAGAAAAAAGCCTTGAACCAATAAACAGTAACTTTTATTTCTGGTGTTTTATGTATGGGTAAAAGATTCTCGGAAAATTGTCTTTTTCGGGGTTAAATTAGTAGTCGTAAATGGAAAGTCTTAAAAAATAGGGCAATTTGTTTTCAACAGTATCGCAGGCCGCAGCTAAAGCTACAATTTTTATATCCACGGTTTTCGTCTATCATTTGTCTATCTACTCGAAAAAATTGGATTGTAAATCGCCGGTTTTGGCAATAATTTGGATATATGAAAAAATTTAGTTGGAAATCGCTGTTTCTGGCAAAAAAAATACATTTACACAGGGAGAATGCATAAAAAAACTCTATTTTACGAAAATTACATCATGCATTGACCAGGACGCAAAACAGTTGACTCCTCTAACCCAAGATTGTGAGAAGCGACTTCTGCAAAATACTTTTTTTTTAAGATTTTATTATGGCAAAGTTTCTTTTGGTTAGAAATATGAAGTGATTCATACTTTCTGAGATATCGGAGTTATCATTATTTAAACACCCTGTATATGTTATGGCAATATTACATATGTTTTACCTACATAAAAATAATGTTATTTAGTGGCCGTCCTTGAACGTATGTAGAATTGACAAACAAACAAACAGTTTTAATTGGTTTTAAGAATAATCTTTTTATACGATACTAATAATATTTTTGAAGTAGAGAATTTTTTTTGTTTTTCGTAGTACTCACAACGATCTGTGGTTTTCTTTATTTAGTCCGGCTCGATGGTTTGGTATGGAACCTACCGCTGTGGGTGCCAAAGAACTCAAGCTGCGGACGCCTAGCCTAGTGACGTCGAACCGCGTGCGCCGTAAATTCAGTATTCCGATCTCGCTGCCTCCGGGAGGCGGGCTGAGCCCGCCGGTGACGGAGCACGCAGCTTTTCGAAGAAGGTTCAGTAACGTAGGGGACGTGGTCACCAGGAAATTATCCACCACTATAGGATGGAGGACAGGCATTAGTGGTCAGTGCATAAATCATATCGCTGTACATCGCAATCATTGTTAAATCATTTCAATGTCAAACAAAATTTAGTTTTGGTTATTTATATGTGACATAAACTATATACAGTGCTTCGAAGACAGACCCTGCCCCCTTCCAGCTTTTGAACAAAAAGAAAAAGTCTTTTTAGTGGGACCTTTTTGAGGATATTTGAACCAAGCAACAGTTATCTTAAATTAAACTAATGTATTTTGAAAGGCATGGTTTACATTTTTAAAATTGGTGTATAGTTTCCTATGAGATACACGCCCAATCCTTAAAAAATTAACTTTTTATCAGATAAAAAGAAAAATTTTAAATGATGTCATTCAAATGACCTCCGCGACTCATGTGGCATGGTAATTCGTTTATTGAAATTTACTATCACTTTTTGACAAAATTCAGGTTCTATGCCGGCTATTTCGCGTCTTATCTCCTGTTTTGTTTGGTTACACTCTGCTTTTTAGATACCCCAAAAAAAAAATCTAGGGGAGTAAGATCACATGATCGCGGCGGCCAATTGATATTGCCGTTACGTGAGATAATCCGACCAGGAAACTTGCCCCGCAGCAATTGCATCGTTTCTCTGGATGTATGACAAGTGGCTGCATCCTGTTGGAACCACAAATCTTCAATGCCCATACCTTCCAACTGCTTCCAGAAAAAATCAGATATCATGTTTCGATAGCGAACACCATTAACCGTAACAGCGTTCTCCGCATTATCCTCCAAAAAAAAAGGGCCCATTATTCCTCCGCACCAAAATGCGCACCAAACCGTCACTTTCTGAAGATGCATTGCTTTTTGAATAATCTCTCTTGGATTTTCTAATCCCCAAATACGAGCATTGTGTTTGTTTACGAAGCCACCAACGTGAAAATGTTCCTCATCGCTAAAGATGATTTTCGTTGAAAAATGAACCCCTTGTTCTCGTATCCATTCTGTAAACACGCGGCGCTATTGATGATCTCGAGGTTTCAACCCCTGAGTTATTTGGACTTTATATGGGTGTAGATGCAAGTCTTTTGTTAAAATTCGCTGTGTGGTTGAATACGTAACGCCCACTTGCTGCGATCCATGAGGAATCGATGTGTTTGGATCTTCGGCTACACTTTCGTAAGCAATGGCAATATTTTGATCTGTCCGACCTGCACGAGCACGTTGAGGGACTTTGAGGTTAGTTACAGATCCAGTTTGCTCAAATTTTTGAATCACATTCCAAATTGTCCTCTTAGAAGGTCGATCTTGCGCGCCGAAAAATTCATGTAGAGCCCGAAATGCATTTTTTCTTGATCGACCATTTTCATAATAGGCTTGCACAATTTTTACACATTGTTCAGTCGTCATGAATCTCATATAATAATACACCGATCTAGCGTGCGGGACGCGTCACTTTACCATGTCAATTTCGTTTCCCACGGATCCGAGCCACTTCGGACATTTCCGGGATTTTACCGCACGGATTTGGGAGCAATCGGATGTTTGTCAATTCTGTCATGTCATGACAGTGAATGTATTGTTTTTTTGCGAAAATGTACGGTAAACTTTCTGACTCACGAGTTTATTTGACACGAGCGCAGCGAGCACTTGTTGCGTAACATTTGATTAATAATTTTTCAAAGAATCTTACTTAATCTTACAGTAATACTATTCACAAATCTTCTGGTTCTGCCTCGGTTGTTGATGAATTGAACTTGCTAACGTTTCGCCAATCATCCTGTTGGCTTCTTTACACTTAACCGAAACTGTTTCAGAACATTTGTGAATGCCATTTGATTATTATGTTACAAATTTAATATTTCAGGCAATCCTCCCCAAGAAATCGTAGCTGTGGGACGAGCTATGTGCACCCTTTACGTGAGAACAAGACTGAAACGAGCAGGGTTGTTCAACAGGAAGCTAGGACTGACGAGGGTTAGAAGTGTGGTGGGGACTCTAGATGGGTGCAGCAACATCGTTAGGGACATCTTTCCGTGTAATATTGCGCGATTGTATTGTTATAGTGAATAAGTGTAGTTATATACAGGATTTTTATGTAACTAAACTTGAGGCAAAAGAATGCACATAAAAGTAGCTGAAATAAATTTGCTAAATATACAAAAGCAGAAAAAAGAAAATGATAGAAATTTGTTTATCAAAAATATTAGGATGTTCATTAGAATTAATTGTACTCTAATTGGAGCTAACTCAACCCCATAGACCAAATGTTAACCCTTTACTTAAGTAATCTAAGTATTAAGTAATTTCAAATTTCAATAAGATCGATGGAAAGGTTAAGAACATTTCTTTTTAAGTTTGAAAAGCATTTTATAAATTAGGTTAGCTCATGAGAATTCAAAAAATGCTCTTTGAGAAATATTAATGTTTTTGATATATTATGTAACGTAAGAAAAATAAAAGCAACCGTTTGATAAAATATTTCATGACTATAAAATTCTCAAATAAGTGGAAAACAACAATAAAAAATCAATAAATTTTTATTCATTCATTTAATCATTTAGTTAGTCATAAGGCAATTTATCTAGGTAGAGTTTTTTTAGGTATGTCGTGTGCTTGCACAGAGCTCGAAAGGATGCACCCCAAGCTTTATAGCAAAATTCATCGTCATACGGGTCCGGGCCCAACCGAGGGTAACGTGGGGTTATTGCTGGCATTGGGACATCACATTTTACGATCAGAACCGACATGGGGAAAAGTTAGTTGATAAACAACGCTTGAGAAAAAAAATAAATCGATTTTCTTTGATAGATCGTTGCAATTTATTGCATAGCTGGTGGTTTGGCGGTAGACTGCGTTCGGCAAGGTCAGCCAGAACAACTGCACCTTATCCTGGAAGATATGACGGAACTATTCGAAGAGAGGATTGCTTACTGGATTCAAGCTAACGGCGGTTGGGTAATTAAAAGTTTTTTTTCTCCTATTTTTTCTGGTTCGGTTTATAATCTTCGAGTTTTTTAGGGCGGACTTGGGTCGCATTGCCACCAAATGAACCAAGAAGTGTCCGTGGGACAGTATTTGACCATCTTTGGCCTCGTCACGGTGCTGTTTTTGGTCGCGTATCTGCTAGTTAGATTTTGTATTAAAATAGGTACTTAAATATAGCTGTTTTTTGATAATGTGCTTTTTATTATTATTTACCGTTCTTCGTACGCCGTTTTTTTAATTGAGTTGTGCACGTCCCATATTCAAAAATTCAGAATACCTATGCCATCTCGTTTTCATTACATTAACGAAGTTAAGCGTCGGCCACATTTATTTTTAGAACTTGTGGGTAGATGTCGCGAAGTCCGAATGCAGCATTGCCAAAAAGGATTATATGTATACAGAAAGGATAACCTATAATTTAGCATTGACCAAATCCTTCATGGGTTTTCATTAAATGAGAATAGATAATGGTTACATTTACATTTTTGTTCTATTAGATGTTTAACTGAACGTTACAAACAGTTTTCAAGTCGTTTTCAATCTGTTTGTGTAAGTTTAATCAAAAATTATAACTAACAACTGACAAGCCTCCTTTTTATTTGTCTATTTAGATTCTACAGGTACTTATTTAAGTTTTTTTATAACTTTTATTGTGGTTCTCTACAATTTTTTGATCTGTTATATGTAATCTCAGAGTAAAAACAGTGAAAATCTAAATACATTATTTATCAAAAAAGTGCTTTGCCTCCTTCCATTCAGTTGCGCCATCTAGTTGGCGGAATATTAACGAATTGAGACTCTGTCGTATTTCTCAAATATCATCCATGCCATAGATCCCTTTAAGCATAATTCTAAACTGTGATCAACTATCCAGACGTGGACTGTTCTGTGACGCCTGTGTTTTAAAAATAATTTTAGTCTGTGAGTATTGCGTTAGTGCAATTCGTCGGCTGAGGAGGTGCGTTGCTGTACGGCAAACAGACGGTCTCAGTGGGGTGCAAAAATTTAAAATTTACAAGTAACGAAATGGCGTTGTTTCGCATAACTACCACAAGATTCGCCGACACACAGGTAAGATTGTTTTTTTCTTATTTTTCTTTCCCTAAATGATAGGTATTTCCCACCATCCTTGACCATCGATTTTTGAATGGGGATTTGGCGCCTCGAGCTGTGATTTAAAAAAGTCAAGGAAATTTCAGATCAGTACACGACATTTTGGTGTGTGAAATCGTAGTTTTTAATACACAAATTTAGTCAAAGACGTCCTTGAATGTGAACTAATGATAGTTACGTAAGGTTTATCCGAAACCACTTTTTATGCCTTGGAGGTTATCTGAAAAATACTCACTGATCATAAAGTACCATGTTCCTACTGGGATTTTGTGAAAATTGGTCAATAATCACTTTTTAAAACCACAGTAGAATTAACTAGTTGTAGTTATATTATTAACTTATTAAAGTATAAATTTTACTAACACTTTAATAAAGCTTACGATAGTTTGATGAGGGTATATAACGGTAAAAATTAGTAATTCGGAAGTAAGGTAAGATATTATTTCTTAAATTCCACAAATAGGTATACTTAAAATAGGCTAATTAAAATTACTTTAGTTCTCGTCTTATCTTTCGAGGTTCGAGCCTCTAAAGATTACACACGTCGGTGAATGCTTTTACTTCGATTTATCTCGACTTGAACAATACTTTATAGGAATTTTTGTCGATTTTGATAGGCGCCTATCGATTGAAATTGATCTGAAAAAGATAAAAAGAGGTGACCCTCTAATCGTACAATATATGGTCCCACTCGTATTCAGCTTAGTTTTTTTATCAATGGTTCATTAATAAGAACATCAAAAGAAAAATTGTAAAATCTACTCATGCAAATGTATTTTAATGCAATGCAAATACACGCTTCTTAGTGGGTCGTCTAATTTCTAGATATGTTGAAAGAAATATTTTAGTTATAAGCCTTGGGAGTCCAGGTAGGTGACCTTGAAAATGGTTCTATGTTAATTTGCTCACGGGAATATAACTAAGTGCATGTTATGTTAAAAAATTCTAAATGATATTTTAAAAGCATATTGCATATTGCTAATGGTCACGGTAAATATATTTTCATTCCGATTACGGGCGGGACCTTGAGTGCAATAAGGAAAACTTGTCATTTCTACCGTTAAGTTATTTCATTCCTTTCTCCGTCAAAATTCAATGTAGCTGATATTTAGTTAGGGTATGTTGGGACAAAAATGGGTTTCGCCTGTTTTTCTAGCTAGATATTTGTTAGACGTTCCTCCTCGTACTTTCTAAATAATTATTTCCCTGTCCTGCACCACCTTATTTGAAGAGTTGATTGTAAAGAAGCACTTAAAACGGGTTGTTCAAGACATTTACTTACTTTAAAATCTTTATTTCTTTTTGCAATTAGTGGTGCTTGTTCTAACGGCTATATTTCGAATCTGTCTAGTCAACTTTATCAAGTTTATTAAACCATATTTTTTTCGGAACCTGTCTACGGTTTCCGCTTACTTGCCCACCCTGTATATATATTTTTTGTACCTTGACACATTTTTTTTTAACAGAAGATTGTTCCACAAGTGAGCGTCATTCTGAGACAGCTGAGTGATGCTTCTACCGATCTCAAAGCCGTTCTGGCCGCCAAAATTCCGAAGGAACAAGAACGCATCGTGAGCTTCCGCAAGAAGCACGGCAACACCAAAGTCGGGGAAGTTACCGTCGACATGGTAAGTTGTCCGGCTCGCCTTGTATAACTTGTGTTTTGTTGAAGAAAACCGATAACTCAAATCGAAGAAATCATTACATTATCACGTCGCGTCCTTTTTGTGATCTTCGTTTATCTCTGCTTCGGTTATGTAATCCAAAAAAAAGCAATGCAATTGCCATTCCGAGCGGGTGTGCTCTGGGTTATCTTCATTAGTATAATAATGGCGTGACATCAATAATGATTTGTTCAACTATTTATCGGGCTTACGGTGTCCTTGCTGCTGAATATGTTCGATTGGCGCTATTTTAAATTGAAATTACTTGCACGCAAACCCGTTTTTAGGCAAAAAAAGTACGACAGTCATCATCCTAGCGACGGTACTCAAATAGAGTATATATATCTACAAATACGAGCCGTCCAAATCGAAATTGCATATAGCGTTAAAACATATACGTTGCATTATTAATGGGTTGTTGTTCAACGTTTTGGGTTTATTTTTAGGTTGTTTTGGGAACTTTGGACGGTGAACTCGAAAATTAAAAATCGTGCCACCAAACTACATAACTTGAATAAATTTATCTGTTCAAATTTATTAAGTGCTAATATGGAAAGAGCTATCCAGTTTTCTTTTTAATTGAGCAATTACGCACTTAATCTAATATTAATAAAAAATCACGCCGATGACGTTGGGATTGCATTTTACGATAAGATTAAAGTGACGTCAACAACAGAAATTTTTATTATCGAGGTAAAGTCATTTATTTACTATTTATTTTTGTAAAATCAAACTGGGAAGTTGATTGACGTGACTTTACAAAAATCCAAATAGCATTAGACGGCTGTATTGAAAATTGCTTTCGCTGACGTCACATTAAACTTGTCGTTAACTTTCTGAAAGATATTTATTCACTTAAGCCGTCTGGGTCTATAGATTTGAAGGTTTCCAAAAGTTACGATGTTTATTTGCCAAGTCGTCGGAGTTTCTACAAAGTAAATTTGCTTTAAGCTTGTTTTAATGAATAAATATATCTTAGGCACAGTACGCACAGACCTCTAAAAATGTAATTGTATTGCTTATTTTACAAATTCGGAATTAACAAATACTGTGTTCGTCAAATAAGGATTTGCGATGTTGTTAAGCCAATAAATTTATCACTACCACATGATTCAGTTTTTAATGTGGCTTTAAAAATTTGCACCTCTCTTATCGTAGAAATTCCGTGGCCAATTTTTTCAACTAAAGTAGTTAAACAAATTTATGAACGTGCATTAAATTTATATTTAGGATTAGACAATTGTGGTGCGTAATTTAAAAAGTATTTTGGGATGACTTTGAAAATTAAAGCTATATCTCCAAATAATCATTCTAATTTATTCTTGGAGTTAAAATTATTCATGCTTCTAAAGGCAATTTTTTTGTTTTACCGCGAGGCTGGCGACAAAAATGTTTTCTTTCAAAAAGTAGAGATTGACGTGCCTTACTGGATTTTGTAAAACAAAAAAGTTGAGTAGGTAGCTTTTCGTCAAGTCTTCACTTGAGTCTCTATAACAATGTGTCTCCATAAATTTGAGATTACTAAATAACTAGACCAGACTGACGTTCATGTAACCGCAGGTTCAAGATCATGAACGTTCTTAAATTCTAAAAGGCTCACAAACTCGTTCTCTTAACTCGTGTTCCCATCTTCTATAAAGAATTTTGACTTTAGTGTGGGGTTTTAAATCGATTTATAGATGTACGGCGGTATGAGAGGTATCAAAGGCCTGGTCTGCGAAACTTCAGTGTTAGATCCGGATGAGGGTATCAGATTCCGCGGCCTATCCATCCCCGAGTGTCAGAAGGTCCTTCCCAAAGCTCCCGGCGGTAACGAGCCCTTGCCCGAAGGTCTTTTCTGGTTGCTCATAACCGGCGACGTACCTACCGAGGCCCAGGTGAAAGCCATCTCCAAGGAGTGGGCCAACAGGGCCGAACTTCCTGCCCATGTGGTAACCCTCCTCAACAATTTGCCGGCGACCGTGCACCCCATGTCTCAACTCTCTGCCGCGATGACCGTCCTCAACAGCGAAAGCAAATTCGCGAAAGCCTATGCCAGCGGCGTCCACAAGTCCAAGTATTGGGAATACGTCTATGAAGACACGATGGACTTGATCGCCAAAGTACCGGTCGTCGCAGCAACTATCTACCGTAACACTTTTAAAGATGGATCTGGTGAGCTCTTTTTTTGTTGTCTTTTTTATCTCTTGTCTGCATTTTCCGATACCTATTTATTTGCAATGCGTTAACTAACTCTCACTTAGACTTCGAATTGCTCTAAGGACGATTCTGCCGATAAATGAAAAACAATTAAATATTGAAACCTGATAGAAATAAATGTATAGCTTTTTATAGTTCAAATAATTACGCTAGTAGTATCTGGATATCGATGATGGCATACTTGTGCATACCAAAACTGAAATGTTATTTATTGAAAACAATATTTTACAGAAACGCAAAAAAACATAAACAAGGCTACACCTAGTTCACAAATAAAGATTTTGGCTCATTGCCATTATGCCACCAAGACCAAGTTAGATCTAAAGAACACCCTGGGATCCTAGCAGGGCGTTTGACTGTATGAACCACGAAATTCTTTTGAATAGGATGGACCAATACGGAATTCGTGGAATAGCTCAGAACTGGTTTAAATCATTCTTAACAAATTATATACAGTATGTTGAAATAAGGCAGGAAAAGGGAAGTTTGTTTATGGATGTATAAAAATGAAAATAACTTACAAAAAAATGGAGATTTTCACTATTATAATACACGTAACAAAGACTGTTTCTCTATAAAAAAAAATAGACTAGAATTTTCAAAAAAACATTTTGCGCACACGGGTGTCAGAGGCTACAATAAACTTTTGTCCCGAGCCAAAAAAGCAGTAGCAATATAAACATTTTTAAATCCAAAAAAAAAATTTTACTTATTAATGTTTGTTATCACTGTATTGTTCTGTCAGAAATTTTTAATGTGGTTTTCTGTCTCATTTGCGGGATCTATATTGTGTACCTAAGTTTGACCTAGTTAACGAAATCTATAATACATGGATTGTTTTCTAAATATGTGGAGTAATAAAAATATAGAATAAAATAATGTATTTTAAATAAATAAATAGTAAAGCACATAGCACAGTCTACTATAAAAGGTGTTTCACTTATATTTATATTTTGTTTAAAAAAATTCCGCACTATTTAAAAACATCTCTGGGCCCATTTAAATATCAATATATAATTAATATTACATGAGCGACTTTCTTTTGCTTTTTTATGTAGTTTTCTTTAAGTGGATATCGTAGAAGTAATTCTTTTTCTGTCATTTTTCCTTGTTTTCGTGCAGTGCTTTTTGTAGAGGATTTAGAACTTTAGTGTAATTTGCATTGTCAACATTAAAAATATATAGTTTACCTTGAGAGCTCAACTAGAATCTTCTTTAAATTGAATTTCCGCCTCCTTTTGGCTTGTAAAATTGGTTATCGCATATAGATGCTGATTTAAAAAGAAAAACAATACGGTAAATTAATACAGGCAATTTTAGAATTGGCTTTATGGTTTTGCTTAGTCTACGTGTTTCCCCTGATATTAATACTGATTTTGTATAACGTGAGCGTATAAGAAACGTATTTAATAAAATTCTCAACAAATTAAAGGTATTGGCGCGATCGACACGACGAAAGATTGGAGCTACAACTTCGCACATATGCTCGGCTATGACAACCCCGAATTCATCGAACTAATGAGGCTGTACTTGACGATTCACAGCGACCACGAAGGCGGCAACGTGTCGGCGCATACCGTCCACCTCGTCGGATCCGCCCTCAGCGATCCCTATCTCTCTTTCGCCGCCGGCATGAACGGTCTAGCGGGTCCCCTCCACGGCCTAGCCAACCAAGAAGTACTCATTTGGCTTATGAAGCTACGTCAGCAGATCGGCGACAAGTATAATGAGCAACAGTTGAAGGATTTCATCTGGAAAACGCTCAAATCTGGTCAGGTGGTGCCCGGATTCGGGCACGCGGTCTTAAGGAAAACCGATCCCCGATACACGTGCCAGAGGGAGTTCGCCCAGAAGCATTTGCCGGAAGATCCGCTGTTTAAGCTCGTATCGGACATTTACAAAGTGGTGCCTCCAATCTTGCTCGAACTCGGCAAGGTAAAGAACCCGTGGCCCAATGTGGACGCCCATTCGGGCGTTCTTTTACAGGTAAGGTTACTTGGTTATTGAACAGGGTTATCAGCCATCCAGTATTTCTATAGGTTTTCCCAGTAAGGGTCAGGGAGTTATATTAATTTTAGCCAAAATTTCTGAATTGATGAAAAACTAGAAAAAAATATTTCATAACGATCTTCTTTAAAAGTTTATGATATATCTTATTTTTGAGAAAAAAAGATTAGAAATTGTTTATGTTATTTCTGTATAATACCACAAAGGCACCACTTTTTATACATTTTTAGAAATACCGGCTTAAGTATATACAAAATCCTAACAATTTCTGAATGCAATTTTGACCAAGTAAGCTTTTAATGTATTGTATTTGAGTATGGAAGTTCCCTCATTGGCAAACTTAACCTCTGTAGAAAGAAAATTATTAGAATATATCAAGCTTAGTCGGCCTATCATTAAAAGTTTATTTGGTTCAGACTATATGAGAGCCTACTCACATTTTCCTGGACTTCCTGTGTAAAAAAAACGTTGTAGTGATAAAAAAAATAAATTTCAGTATTACGGACTGAAAGAGATGAACTACTACACCGTTCTGTTTGGAGTTTCGAGGGCGCTGGGAGTGTTGGCGTCTCTCGTGTGGGATCGCGCCCTCGGCCTGCCCATCGAAAGGCCCAAGTCGATGTCAACGGACGGCCTCATAAAAGCGCTCAAAGCGAATTAAGTAACAGTCAACCTAACCGCAAATTTAACTGTAAATTTAGAGCAGAGATGAAAAGCAGTCGTCGAAGCCGAGTTTTGCAACGACTTCGTTCGGGTTTTTATAATGTGATTGTCTGAGTGATTTTAAGTTATAGTACTTTCGGTGTTCGCGCTGCTCCTCATATAGATACAAAAGTTCAAAGCGTCAGTTTGTCAGGGCATCTCTCTGGACCTATTTGTTTTTATTTATTTTATTTATAACGGGAAAAGCTTTTTCTTTCAGATGTTCATAATATAGGCTCGGAGGACTCAAGTATTTAACGTTATTGTACAGTTTTTTTTGTATAGTTGTTGAGTAATTGAAAAGTAATATCAATAAATAAGACAATACTTATTTAAATTAATTGGTGTTTTAATTTGACCACGACGTATATAGAAATTTAAAAAAAAAATCCCTTTTTCAAAATTACAAAATTTAACATTTTTACAAATGCTTCTGTTGGTAGAACCTTTAAAAAATAAAATGCAACAAAATCTCACAAAACAGAAAATAATATATCTTTTGGAAGAAAATTACTTTTTTTTCTTTTACACTAAACATGTTTAAAAACGAATTGAATTTGACATATATTATCATATACCTGATGATTTTTGATATATATTCTTAAACGTGGAGCCATCATATTTTAATGATTTTTTTTATTTACTAGTAAAATAACTACAAAATGAAATAATTATTAAATAATAATAATATATTTACCAAAACATTAAATAATTTACAGTTATTCTACTTTTTTATAATACAGCAAATACAATACAAACCCACTAAACAAATCTCTTGACCGCGGGCAGCGTTAATAAATATATTATATTTTTCACGAACTTGTAACGCAATTAACTGTCTATAGCACCACCAACAATCAACGATAGAATTAAAATTATTATTTAACTAACAAAGTGTATCTTAAGTTCTAGTAGATATAAACAACATAATAATTGAGCCAACAAGATAAAATCAACAGTTCAATGAATTATTTAAAAATATATTTAAAGATAAAATTAATTGCAGTTTTATGCCTACTATTTTATTTATTTTTTAATATAATGAATAATAAATACGTATTTCAAGAATCTATAAAAAAAGTTCAGTTATCCAAAGTTTACATTTTTTTTAAATAAATTTAGAGAATTTATTTTTTAATATCTTTAGGTAGGCAATTATAGAATTTTGGAGCAAGGTATGGCATGTTGATACTATAGTCTTCTTAAGAATTGGCAATATATATTTGTTACAAATAATATAGTAACACAATATAGGTGTGATCAGTTTACTTCAGGAGAATTTAACGCAATATATAACGCAAGTGTATTAAGGGCGCAGAAATCCTTTTTAACTTTGTGAGACTGACCGAAAATAAATAATAATTCTTCTTTTCAATCTAATATTTTCCTTGAACAATTTTCTGTAGTTATTACTATTCAAATTTCCAGTGGTTTTGACAAATTAAACTGGAACAAATTATCAGGTCTGGACAGAAATTTAAATTATCAATTTCAAATAAGAGGGTAAAATAATTGTATAAAAAAAAGGTTGAACACATGGTAAAAAGTTTCCTACTTTTTTCCGTTATAAGTTATCTCACTGTGATTACCTACTGCGTATATCTAATACCTACTGATTTAAAATGGTTTTCGTAGTTAAAATTAAATCCAACATAGCTAAAACTCCCACAAATTTAATCAGACCTGGTGTGAAATTCAAATCCAACAGGATTGCTTCTGATTAGAATGGAGTGGCTTAATCGTATAATAAATTCTACTTGAATGTCTCAACGAGTCGCAATAAATATTTATTTGCCGAGCCATTGGATTTTTAAGATCCGCTTTGAACTCTGGAATATAAGTATTGGAAAAAGGTACAACCGAAACACAATTAGGACTACGGGCTGTAATACCCATCCGGAACTGTAAGAACTTTGATCGGTGGGCCAGGAATCAACTTTATTTAGCAATACCAATTAATTACAACAGCATTCACTTCAGGTTATTTGTTTTAGTTAATTCATAATCATATTAAAATTTCTTCTGTTGGATTACTTATTATTAATGAGTACATGAGCTACTAGATATATAGATGCTCTGGCTATGCTGGTAATACAGAAATTTTTGAACCGACGATCAAAAAAATATTAAGGTAGGCCATTTAATATGCGTATGCGCGGTCATATGAAATTTCATTTTTAACCAATGACCTTGGAGCATTCAACAAACAACATGGCCGCTGACAGATCGTCAATAAGTTCGGGTGCGGAATTTTTACGGCAGCGTTTTGTCAAAATATGCCTAGTTTTTGTTAAGTTTGAGTAAAGTCTGAGAAAACGAGTTAAGTGTGAGGAAATCGCCGTTTAGACAGAAAATGGCACAAGGTTAGTGGGTGAAATGTAAAGGCATGCGGGGAATAGTATATTACCGTAACAGAGCAACTATGTTATCTAGATGTTTCAAACTAACCAGCAACCTAGCAACGCAAACACGAACATGGCCTATGACAGTTCGTAAATTCGACAGGTTTCAGTGTAGATCTAACATTATATTGTCAAAATATGTTCAGATCTCTTTAAATGTTCTGGAAAAGCAAGTTAAGTATGTGGAGATCGCTGTTTAGAAAGGAAATTCCGCAAAGTGAAGGTTAGCGAAACAAATATAGTGGCATGGGTGGAATATTGTTCCTTTCTCTATGAAAATATCATATAGCCAACCGCAATCTAGTTTTCTACCGGCAGCATGATTTTTGACAGATTGTGACGATTTACGATTGCAACTACAGCCGCTCTTTAGAGCTGGAGGAGAAAATATGGCTTAAATTTTTTGGCTGCTTCTGCTTTCAGCGATGCAGCGGAAGTCAGAAAAAATTTTGGTAAAATTTGGTGTCTTACCAAAATTAATCTATCCATTATTAATATGGTCTTGTGTTTTAGGGTTCGGTGTAGTCAGCGCTTTGTATAGGCGCTGTCTGGCGGTGGATACAGCCAATTTTTATCGATAACGATAATGATGACTATCCTATGTCGATTTATTGGTTGCATATTACTTTTTGTATGATATGTTCTACAAATCCCAAATAATTAATATTTGGTTGTGGGACTTAAGAATACATTAAGTGAAGTGGAATTATATCAGTTTACAATGCATTATTTAATCACCTTTTTGGTGGATACTGCCGAACAAAGGGAAATCGGTTATTGCTTTTGCGACCCTTACTCGATAATAAATTTAATTATTTTTGTGAGGTTGAGGACTGGTTATCAATAGGTGAGTTACTCAGTAAACAGATAAAGAAAAGAGGTGTCTGCGTCGAAACTTGTGATAGAAGTTCGCTTATAATTTTTTTTAATAATCAGTAGTTATATGATTTAAACTGCGATAACTAAATTTGCGTGCGCTACAATCATTAGGTTCGCAATGTAGTAATTTTTGACGATGCTGCATTTAGAGGTTATGTTTTTGGTTAGTGTGATTTTGTCAGTTTGGCGCTTCTCAAAAAGTGTTTTGTGTAATAATAGTAAAAGTATTAATAGATAATTAACTACCTATCTAAATTTCGGCTGTTTAATTTGTGAAATAAATTGCCCTTTCACTTATGAAACTCGTTCAAATTCCGTAACACTACTTTATAGCTCTAAATTTTTTATTCGCCATTCAACATATACCCGACGGCAAGCTTCTAAGTTATTTGGCTAAAAAGTCATTTGGTGGTGGCTGGTCAATCAGCCTTAGGTTGGTTATTATAATTTCGTAGCGCTATCCGCGGGTGCAAAACAAATTTCCTAAGTACTCTTTTCGTATATGCTTAACAGAGTTTTGTTTACTTCCGTAGACACAGAGGAACGCACCTACACAAATCAGAAATGTGCATCGAACCTAATATGAAGTCGAAGAGTGTTGATAATACGTAAACAAAACAATATTGATTTTATGAGATGTGGCTATTTTTAGATTGATATCCAGATACAAAAATGTCTTATTCGCGACGAATATTTCGTCGTTTTCATTATTGAACAAAAAAAAAATATATTTTAGTTTTCTGTGACCGCGAGCATTGAATTAGTTCAAATTTCTTCTAATTTCTAGTTCTAATTTCAATGAAATGAAGTATTGAGGATCCAAAAATGTACGACTTTACTCAAGTATTTGTAACCCTAGCCAATCCTCCTACTCTACACCCTTTATTTTAAATTGGAAGAAAGATCACGGACCATAACTTAAGAACGATGCCCCTGTCATGTGACACAACAAAGTCCACTCTCTAATAACAATATGTATAATAAAAACAAATTGGCTTTATTATCTATCCGCTTCGTGGCCGCACGATTTATGAAAGAAGAGTATATTGTTTTCTTATCAAATGATAAATAATGCTCAATAGTCAACGACTCCATCGTCAGCACAATGCCAGACATCGCAAATAACGTCGGCGATGATATTAATATATTATATTAATTATTGGTAAGACGAAACGACTTTCGCATTAAGCAGTGTGCTTTTTAAAGCTGGAAATAATAATAAATTAGTATTAAACATGGACGCACTATTATAACTGTTCATTTTCTTTCGGAAAACTGGCATCCTTTCGAAATCCTTGTAATTTGCAAAATAAATTTCTAAAGTTTTGTGATTAAGTCGTCATTGTCATATTTGGATATTTTCATTCCCTCGGAAGCTACAGGGTGATATGACTTCAAAATAAATACATTTATGCCAAAAAGTCTATATGTGTTGCATGAAGCGTGAATTGTTATACAACAAAATAAGGAAATTTTAAACTGGCAACTCGAAATAATGATGAACATTTTCCCTATCATGTCTTTGTTTTCTCTCTATACACCCCTCATATTATAGTGACAATTTTAAACGAGGTAAATGTGGTCCAAGGTGTAATCTAAATTTGAAACGTCTATCCTTCACAGCCGCACACTGTAGTCATACAATGAACGGAGAAATGAACTGAATGATCGGTAATGTTTGTCGTTGTCAGTTTAATTTCGCTTATTTAGCGCATTGCATTGGCTCGTTGTGCTCGGCTACTGTCACAGTCGTGGTTGCTCCGGGTGTGATGTCTAGATTTTTGCGGTCCTTCGATCCGGCTTTCGGTTCGAAAACAAAAAACCGCGTCGAAGTGGTGTGCTAAGCGAAAATTTCCCACGTGAACGAGCCACCAAAACGGAAAACCGATTTACCAAGTTTCAAATAAATTGTTATATGCTTGTTGGCGGTTAAAGTTGACGGGATGCAACGCATGCGCACTGACCACACTGCCGTTTCGTCAACACCGTGCGTTGTCGCGACCTTTCGTGAAACTTGAACCGATTTAGTATCATAACAACTGTTGCGTGGTAAATTTAGTTGCCAAGATCGATGGTAGAGGTTATTCGAAACGTCACTATATAAACACTACATTTTCTGTCGGAAAAACGCGACACCCGCGTGAATCTACTTCGTCAGTAGTTTGCGAACTCAATTCTCCTGTGATATAAACCGCTTTCCGCCTGTGATATGGTTATAAACCAACTTCGTCGTGAACTGTGATAAAAGGTAAGCCGGCCATTATTAATAACATGCGTATTTTTAGTTGACGATGCACCAGCGATCGAATTTAATTTAATTGCAATGGCGCTGGTTGAATAAATAAACAGGTAAGTGCTGATTGCTGGATGATTTGTTGGGCGTTCTTAATTTTCAAACTCATGTGGGTATACTTTTACCTACTCTGGCGTTTATTGCGTGATCTTCTTAACTCCTAATTCGTTAAATATTATGGTTATAAAATTTGTTTATATTTCAGTAGTGACACAATTCCGGGCAGGTTCAAAAACCCGAAATTACCACATACCCATGAGATTTAAATAAAAAAAAGAAACCGGTTTTGTGATAAATGGCCGAATGTAGTCAAAACAAATCAATAATACTAGAGTTAACAAAAATGCTGAAGTAAACACGATTAACATAAAATTATACTTAATTGGGAGGTAAATGTAAAACGTGTTGCCTATCGTACGTGATCAAATATCATAACCGCGGAACATGCTCTGTGCGTTAACATTACCTAATTATTGGCTCATTTGTAAAGGCGATTACTCCAGAATGTTATCGCGATGTTTACGTTCGAGCCGCCCGGAGCCAGTTTTTCCGAAAAAATAGGAAATAAAGTGATTTTACGGGCGATCGAACGAGACATGGCGCCATATGTGAATTAGTGTTTACACTTACTGGTATTAATTGCGCAGTTGACGGTAAATATACGGATGCCTACATTACAGAATCCGACATGTCATTGATACCAAAAATATCAAAAATGTTGTCAATCTTGGCATATTAAATGCGGACTATTGATGCCAAATGTCTGTCTGCGCTTGTCAAAACAAAAAATACCAATGGGAAGAATGTTAGAACTTGTTGAAGGTGCTGTAGAGTAGAGCGGGCATAAAAGGCAATGAAGCGTCAAATTCAAGTTGATGGATGCCCTTTGCCTTTGGCGCAAATAATTTAGGTATTACAATTATGTTAATGTTGATAAGTCTATGCACTAATTACACCTAAGTAAAGATGTTAGTTGGATTGTGGTGTACAATACATTACCGATGCAATTTATTATTTTAAGTATGATTTAAGGGGCTTAGAAAATCAGAAAAAGCGAATTGTTTTTTTCAACGTTTTACCTATTTGAATAATCGAATCTTGTCACATCAGCAATTATTTATCTCATTGGATTTGCGTTCTAATGTTCTTGGAAACAACATAATGTGTAATCGTATTATTACTTGTATTAACTCGTTTTAAATTGGGGAATACCCAGGAAATAATCACCCAATAAACACGCAATTTTGTTAGGGATAGAGGGAACCAATTTACAAACTAATCTTTCAAGTTTTTTCAGTGTTAAATTTTGCTTTGACATTTTTTTTTTTGCAAAACCAGCTACTGCCGACTGGGTAGGGCGCGTAAAAGGTTCGATGAAGAAAATTGTCACGCTTGCAACGCAGAACGCACATTGCAAGGAAATCAATAATAGCTTTCATAAATCGACGTCACCCGAACAATGTACCGGGGCCACTAAAATCGACGAATCTGCTCCCAATAATTGACGTCTCTATTAAACGGCCATTAAGAAAATCGTTCGGCAAGCAACTCCATTTCCTTGTCACAAAATAGATTCTGTCGCGTTTTATTTTTTTTAGATGCTCCTAATTATAATTAAGATGAAGAACCAAAAAAAAAAACCATAATGCTAGCTATAAATATAATTTATTGAAATTCTAAATCGGTAAATGATAAGTGAAGTGCTTGCTTAAAATTTGCGATTTCTCGCACTACCAAAAAGCATTTTTTTACATTATATAATTAATAATTATATAAATAATGTAGGTTTTTGTTGACGACTGGGGGAAAAGATAAGATAAGATTGCACGTCACGGCCCAGAAATCAATCACTGCGCTTCTCAGCTATGAACTGGCGTGGCGCATGCACTATCTTAATTATCAAACTGTCTCAAGGTGATCACCGCTATTATTTCACTTTTTAGTCTATCCAATTTTGTTTCAATTACCAGTACCATCAAATCCATCCCAGTTTCCAAAAAATAAAAAAAAAGTAAATATTGCTCAAAGATTCTTCGTTGAGTCGGTCCTACGACGTCTGCTTTTAAATTATGCGGTCCCGCGTTTACAAAAACTTATTTTTGCGCACAATTTTTTGTTCTGGTGACGTTGAAGGTAAACCGAATTTAATCCACGTAAATTGTTTCGAAACCGGTTCGAGCCGGTTTCGTCGGAATAAATTATAATTGAATAAAAAACAAAGTGGTAAAATATACCTACAACAACAATCTGGTCAACATTCAAATTTGACGTAGGCATGTATTCCGTTTTGGGCGTGATTGCACTCTCTCTATGAAAAAATGAGTCTATTAATTTAGGGTCATCCATAAATTACGTCATTCTCTTTCCCCCGATGTGATGTGGAATATTGTGATATTTTAACTTACTAAAGATTAAGTACTTTGGTTTCAATGTTTTATGAAAGAAGCGATACAACAATTAATTTATCCCTTTTATGGCTGCTACTACAACTTCTAAGTAAACGAGAATTCTCAATAAAACATCGAAATCATTAACTCGAATAAGGTACGCAAGCTCCTACTGGCAATGGCTTGTCGGCTAACGTAGTGTTTCTCGTTACTCGTAGTGGCTCGATGGTCGAGGAAGGTCGCATCCGTAAATAGTCAAATTTCTGCTGACTAGGCGTATTTTCGGTA